GTTTCAATGTTGCGTAATCTTTGTGTTTGTTTGTGTTCGACTAAATTTGATACGATTGCGTGTGTGCCTTTTTTTTCGTAGCTATTCAACCAAATGAACATAAATTAAACTCTCTTTCCTTCTCTCTTCATTTCTCTGTTCGTTTGTTCATTGAAAATAATTTAGCTTCACAGACGATAGAATTGAAATGGTATCTAATTTCTTAGCAGCCCCCATCAATTGCATTTGTCGTTATCATTTTAGCATTTTAATGAGACATGATGAACTTTATGACCCGATTGCAAAAGAATGCGCATAATTTAATTGAAAGACATAGAAAAAAGCCAGCGGAAAGAAATATTAAATTTTTAAATAATCGCTCCGCGAAAAAAAAATCTTAAAATGGCCACCATTCTAAAGGAAAATCCATATGTTTTCACATTGATTGTGTTGGATGATGGACACATGGAAACTGTGTCTGTTCGATCATGTAATGCGTGTGTACATGTGCAATATGCATACTAAACGGATTGTATTTTTTGCGCTAATATTGAAAACTGAAAGTCAACTGTTGCCTCGTTTTTCATTTTATCTTATTTGCACATGCATACTCTCTTCACACACACACACAAGCACGGCAACCGATATGACCATGTGCAAAACGCACGCTCGTCGAACTGCGACGACGTCATGTATGCGTATGGAATTTGGTAGCGTGTTGTTGCGATGTCAATATTTACGACTTTGGCCATTAATTTATTCCTGAAGGGCTCATTTAACGACGATGGCAATGTTGTTGATGAAAAGCGAATTTTTGTGTCATGGCTATTAGCTGCGATAGCATTTGTCAACATTTATATAATATACGCAACGAAATCTATAATACCCAAAAATAAAAACAAGTTAATCAATTTGATTTAAGACTTTGAATCACGAAACCGCGCATTGTGTCTCGGCACGAAGAAAAGTCAATAGGGAAAGAAAACACATCATGCGAGCTATTGTGTAACTGTATTAGTTTGCTACCAACGGATGCGAATGGTTAGTCGTGCGCCTTATGCTTCACTGTTGTGTGTTTATGTGGCAGCGAGCGCTTTAGAATTGTTCTATTCACATTCTGACTTCGTTGGCACGAACGCGTTTTATGTATATATTTTAGAGTGTACGGCGCTCACACATTGATGGCGGAATGCGCGGTGTGCGTGTTTTTCCCATGTGTTTACGTTATTGTTGGTTGCATCTCTTTCTCTATCTGAGTCTATCTTCTCGTGGTTTCGGAGTCGCGCCGTTGTACCGCGTATACTGATCGAAAAAATTGGCAGGTTTGTGGTTACATTGTTGTATTTCGCATCAGTAGTGTGCGTTTGAACACAGGCGAGTAACGATCGGTACGTTTTGTTATTACCCCGTTCAACTGTCAAAAATCATTCGTGAGATAGTGTTTGTAATTCAATTTCTCGCACGCGGATAATTTCAATTGCGCAAGTCTATTTTCTGCGACGCGCGTTTCATATTATACATATTGCACTCCGAAACTCACACTCTGAATTCATTTTCTTTTTCGTTCAATTTCATATACGAATTCCATTCTCTCGTCATTGCATTCTCGCTCAGTTGCTCTCGCTATATGTAGTTTTCGTTCGATATTTTTTTTTTCGTTGTTTTGTATTCTGCATTTAGTGTGTGATGTTACTCTCCTATAAATAAAACGAAGTGTGGCTTATAAATGTTTGAACCGCGCTCGACAAATTTATACTATATGTAGATACAATTATTATATGGTTTTGTTTGTTTTGTGTATACACCAATTCTTCGAGTTCGTCGAGTGGAATCAAGCAAAAGAACGAAGTGAGTTGTTGTTGTTGTTAATGTGTTAGTTTTTTTTAACAGCAATTTAATTTATTTGCTGCTTTGTTACTTCAATATTTACGTATAGACAACGCGATTCTCGCAGCCGAAAACAGAATAGCACTTTTAGTTGTAATATCTTTCGGGCACAATTGAGTGTGTATGTGGTGAAAGCAAAATAGCTCAATTGCAATTGACCAAACAAACGAATTTTCTCAAAACAATACAGATTCTGAATTCTTTTCATCGACCGTACGAATAATTACAATCGCCTTAAACGCTTTAACTTAACGGTTCATTTCGTTTCTTTCGTGTCGATTCATTCGTATTTGCAAAGAGAAAACCATTGCATGTGATTAAGTTTTGTGGTGTGTATTTGTTTATTGTAGATATCGAATTAAATTTTATATTCAATCATCGGGATAAAAACGTGGCCGATTCGAAACAATCAACGTAATTAGTTTTAATCAAAGGCAAGTTCATCATAAAATACATTTCTCTTTCTCTCTCTTGACCGTTGGTCTCTTTTTATTCCGTGTTATTTTGTAATTCTATTACGTATCTAGAACGCATAAAAAGAAGGGAATTGAATTGAGTATAAACTCATTTCAAAAGCGAACAAACCCATCTGTCCAACGTATTCGCACAAGCGGAAAGGTCAAAGCGAGAATACTTTTGAATCTCCATACACTGGCGGAATACAAATTGTCAAATGAGTTACCAAAATAAACAAACAATATTCGATTCATCTGAAATCCGCTTGAAATTGTAAATATGTTTACAATAAGCGAACCTAAAAAAATTCGGCGTCAGAACAAATACACAAAACGCGATTGAAGAAGCAACAATGTCGAAAAAAGTTCGAAATTTTTTCAAGGTCATGCACATATTTGACACTGTTTTCGTGTACGTGTACTTAACCATTTGATGCAGTTAGTTTGCGGCTCCATATATATATATTTCGATGACTCTGCAACAAGCTGCGATGCAATCAGATTGGTTTTCACATTTCCATCTGGAGCAAAGTAAAGCAACGCTAAGAATGAAATCAGAGCCCATTGTTACTGGTAGTTTTTAATCAAATCAAAACTATTTCTAGCATTGTACGGTGCCAAGTTAGAGAATTGGTATGGTGACGAAAAATTAAAATCATTTTGTATTCGAATGGTTTTCTGCACATGCACACAATACACACAATTAATGTGTGTACATTGATGAAAAAGTGTGCTTGCGATATGCCATTTTATGCGGCTTCATTGTTCTCGAATCGATTCAAAAAAGGGATGATGACTCATTCACCGTCAGATAGGGTGTTTGTTCGTATAACCCTCACTGCCTTACTTCATGCAATGACTTCCATGTAGGCGCCAAGGCATGACATTTACCTCATTCATACGCATACTCAAACATTTATTCCGTTGACATCGAACAATACATTCGTGAAAACGGTAATAATCACAAGAATAATGGTATTGAAACGCCTCAATGAAACCATATGAATTGAATTTTTTTTTTTCGTATACAAAATTATTGTCATTCGATGCCAATTTTTTTTGTACTCGTAAATTGAATGTGTAACTTTTTCTGTTCCACACTTGAAAGTTTCGTGTTCACTTGTTTCCCGTTGCTTGTGTACATGATTGGCATCGAATGATAGCGAGCCAAAATAAAAAAAAAACAACTGATTTTACAATATTTCTATTAAAACAGAGATAACGGCAAAGATATTGTTGAGTGAATATGTATATGTCTGCGGTTGATTCCAGTTTTCGAATAACCAATGAAAAAACCACAATTTCATGACAAAAAAAAATATAGATTCAAACTCGTTTCGCTTTTTGACCATATCAGTTACACATATTTCGATAGAATGGGTGGTGGCCGATCGCTAAAATGTGACATGTTTTCACTTTTGCGACAGTTTGCAATTTTATCTGATTATGGTTTGATGTTTTCGAGATAAAAAACAAATGCGGCAAACCATTTGATTTGGTCAAATGGAAAACAAATCAAATTGAAGTGGTTCAGTTGAGCATCTAATGATCAACTAGTTGGTCGTTTTGCGAGGTATTTTCGTTATTCAATTCGAAAATAGACCGAGAGTATTTTTATAATCACATTGCTCAAGTGGCCAGACTGTGGTGTGACGTCAGTAGTTTGGCATTTTGTTCAATAATAATTCACGTGTTTGATAAATCGCCAGCAACTAAATGTAGTTTTTTGTTCGTTTCGAAAAAAAAAACACGAAACGTTTTGCAAAAAAAAAAGAATAATAAAATTAAATTGTCAAGAATTCTGGAGCCACTTTTGACGTTTTCAAGTGGATTCCGTTTTCAAAAGCAGAATTCCAATTGCTTGCCGTTAGACATATAGCCACATGAATTTTGAGTAATTTGATTGCTTCTGTGAAAAACTATTTTGCATAATAATTATTGTAACCGAATGACCGGAGCACGAGCCTCAGTAATTCATATGAATATGATGTGCATCATTCGTTGATACAGAATATTCAATTTATTGTTGTTTGACCGTGTTTGAATGGCCGAACCGAGGAATTGTGTCGATTTCTATATTTTTAGATAAGTTTTCTATTAAAATTTTGAATTACATCACGTTCGGTGAGCGAATGAGCGCACGCTTTAACTGAAATGACATCGTGGCTTCATCGAACGGGATTTGTTTTTGTCTTCGACAAAACGTGTCTTTAATAATAATTATAAGCGAAGCTCGGAATTATTCAATTATTATTATGATTGATTGAAAACAACAAACATGCACATCGGCACAGCTAAAGAGAGACAGATGTATTTGCAATCATTCTTGCCGGCAGAGTTATTTTGAATTTGGAATTCACTTGAAGCATTTTTCGAATTGAGATTCAAGTGCAAATGTTTTCAATATATGTTCGGAGGGAGAAGGGAGCACACAAATTGTTGATCGTTAAATTGAATTCACCCATGACGTCTAACTGTGATAGATGTTCATTTGAAAAGAACGTGCACACTCATATCAATATTGAATTAGAAGTTTTTTTTATTGATGTTCCTTCTTTCAATCATTCTAAGCTGTATACGCGCCATAAATCATATTTGCCAACCGTATTTGCATTCATTTTTTCAAAGAGTGGGAATAATAAATTTCTTTTATTCATTTTCTTTATTCCGGCTTTGCAGATTAGAACGTTCCAAAGTGCGAGTAACATTCTTTCAGAGTGATAAACCACAACTAATCAGTCCTCCGGAGCCACAGCATTCAGATTACTTCAGCACCGATCCAAATAGTATATTGGTTAATTTTAGCGACGAAATGGCATCACAAGCAGCATTACCGCCAAACTATAATAGGCAAATCAGGTGAGTCTAGTCGACAAGTAAATAAAAATTATAGACGAAAAATTATATGCGACTAGGACAAAGTAGCGGATTAAAGCATAGATTTTTTTGTCTTGACATTTTATTACAATGGAATGCACTTGATCAAAACAATTAAGCAGCATTCTTACACGCAACTGACTGTGAAAAAAAAGAGTGAAAAAGGGCGAAAGAGAACGGGCGACAAGTGAATGTTTGAACACGCAATCGTTTTTCGCCGTTTCCAAAAAAAAATATGTATTGTTTATACATACAAGAGTGACCGGTACACTGGAAAAGCTATGTTAATTGTAAAATCGATAGTTGCTTAATGAGAATAATATGTCGTAAGTTACGACTCGTAACTTAATGGGTCAGTGAAAGTTGAGGGAAAAAAGTCACCGAGAAACAATGCAATGGAATGTCATGATAATTTTTATGTGACGCGCAATAGAACACAAATACTTGTATTACATCCATAAAGTACGTGGTTTACAATTTTCGATTTCTTTTGCCCGCTGTGAATGCATGTATATTTGAATGGCGGTCGTTAAAAAGGATGCAAAGCATAATATATTCTACGAATGAAGACATAAAAGTGCACACGCCATTCAATTTTCTAGAGTACATAGCATGAATCGTGCATGTACATAATACACACATTGTATGTAGCTAACTAATTCATCGAAAATGCTCTTTCGTTTTAAAAGAAATGCGAATGAATTTTGAAAGTTGATCCATAATGTAAAGTGATAAAAGTTGGCAAACAGAAAAAGCTTTTTTTTCGGGTTCGACCAGAATCCATTAACAGTGTTTGCGAAGATCTCGCCTTAATGATGAAGAAAGACTGATTTGATCTATTTGCCTAGAGAAAGAGAAAGGTGCAGAATGTTCTATTATGGATCGATGACATCATTTTGCAACGCATTCATCGGTTGTTGGATGCTTGCCAACTGATGATAAACCGATGAATATGTGATTTGTAAATGTCGAATGGCAAAAGAGTAACCGCACACTCTCATATTCATATACAAACACATAAAAGCACACAGAAAATAATTTACTTTCCCGCAAGAGTTGATTTCTCATTAAGGCGATTGCCTTTCTTCTACATATGGTAGCGGTTCATTGCTCTTTATGAGCATCGTTAAAATTTCATGAAACTATATCTAGCAAAGGAAAATATGTGATTTGCCGCCAACAATAACCATTGAACGATATCACATATTTGCAATGCATACCGCTTCGGCTCTAAAATTATGTTTGCATTTGCAAATGCACCTGCATACACATATATCCGCATACCGTATATACAATCGACTAAGATGAGTGTGTCAGTTGTTCGTTGGCATCGTACATCGTTCTACACTTTTCCACATAACGTCATCGTCCAATCGTCGTTTGAACCAATTCAAGTGTCAAGCTTTGAATAGTCTGCATCATCGGCACATTTTGTTTGCTTTTTCTGTGAAAATTGAAAAGAATTTCGGTTATGAGCAATGAATCGTTTCACAAGTTGTTCTATAGATGGATTCACATTCCCGCTTTTGTCGAGTTTTGAGTATGTTTATATATGAATGGAATGTAGATGTGGATCATTGTGAGCAAAATGTATACGCACAAAATGAGAGCGAGAACGAAAATTATTGCATGTGCGCCGAGCGCGCACGTCAAAAATAGAATTCAACTACAAACAAAATCCAAATACACCACACAATCACACACACTCCCTTTTCGTTCACTTGTTCACTCGCTCTTTCTCTCTGCGGCTATGTTCGATTCCCTTCAGTCCGCTCCACACACATACATATACAAAATCTCCATGATAAGTGAATGTAAATTTGTTTTGGTTGTTCCGATTTTGTTGGGAATGTGTTCTCTTTCACTGTTCTCTGCTCTTCGGCTCGATGTTCACTCTGATGTTGCTCTGCTCCTCCTTTTCCGATAGTTTTCATGCGTTCTAGGATGTGTTTTTCATTCGCTTTTTCTCCGCAGTTAGTATGCCCGATGTAAACGAATACATAACTTGTGCTCAAATTTGCTCGCCGTTTATTTTGTTTTGATTTCTTCAACTTTTTTGAAAGTCACAATAACCTTACGGTTTGGTTTTAAAAGTGTTGACACTTTATTTGGTGTTGAATAAAATCGTGTACGCTCTTTGGCAGTTTGTTTGGCATCATGCTCTTCCCACAGAAAAATATAAATGGCAAAAAAAATTAAATGAGCATTCGCATTCACATTCGCATTAGTAACAAACCTATTCAGAAAATAGAGAGGAGTTCAAGCATCACAAACAATTGGAATCGCAATAAATACACGAAAAAAAAAGTCGGGAAGTGAAAAAAAACGACCGTAGAGAAAAAAAATCATCATCATCAACATCGAATGTGTTGTGTGTGAGCGTTTCGTATATTTTTGTGGTTGTAGCTAGTTGCGGCGGACAGTAACAATTACGATTGCCAACATCACACAGATCCGATATTAGTTATTTCACGACAGCCATTCGATAATAACGCGAGTTTGCTAAAAAAAAGTTTTTACTCTCGCACGGTCTAGCTTGATGTTTTTTTTTTACAAACGACAACAACAACAAATTAATACATACACAACAATATTCAATGACTGATTAGATATAATACAAGTGCTTTTAGCGCGCTCAAAATACAGAGCAAGTGAGCGAGAGTTTGCGATACGTGTATTTTCACTTGTAGCTCAAAACACGGTGTACAGTGTGTTGGAATGTTCAGCAGTAGCAGCAACACCAACCAGAATAATATACAAATATTATACCGTGTGGCATCGATTTAATCAATTTCAATATTATTTAAGTTTATTATGTTTCACGCAGTACAGCACAAAAAATGACGTAATGCGACCGTCGACTTAAATATAGTTGAAAAATATTAGACGAGAAAACCAATCGAAATATCCACAGAGATAGAGCGAGAGAGAGAAAGGGAGCGAGAGAAAGAGAGAGCAGCGAATAGCACACATCGCGAATAAAAAACAACAGCATAACAGACACATATTCGACGTTTCAAACCATTTTTAACTATTGTGATTGCTCAGGAAAGGTTCAGTGAAAATTTACTGTTCGTTATTGAAGGTTGCTAACTGGCAACTGTGCGCCGCGCTTCTCATACATATTTTTTTTGTCGATTGTGTTTTTCTTCGTAGAACGTGTGTTCAATAAAACACATTGTGAGAGAATTTTTAACGTCAGTCAATATACATATTTACCAATTCGAAACGAAACAATACAACAACAAAAAAAAAAACATTTTTCCAAAGTCAAGAGCAAATTGCGAGTAATTCTATTTGAAAATTGTTTTGAAAAGAATTCCCGTTAATAACCGAAATTATGGTCGTCGAAACAAATATAAATAGTCATCGTGGAACTTTGTTCTACTCATTTGAAGTTCCAAAAGACCAGAATCTACTGGCTGGTTTCAAACGACACTATAGGTAGCGTGATTACTTATTCAAAATTATAATCATAAATGTTGAGAATGTGTTCGCTTTTATTCTTTTATTGATTCGCAAATAGATTTTTATGAATATTTTCCAAAGTAGCAGTGAGAAATTACAATTATTAATGTACATTTTTTTGCTTCTTTCAGCACGGAGTCAGGATGGGACAATCCATTCCGACCTGGTGGCGATTTATCGAGAGAAGCCGATGAAATTGTGAACATGATAAAAGGTACGTGGCCATTTTTCGTTCATTGTTTTCATGAGTTAGTTTTTGTTCCGGAAAGTGAAAGTAAGAGATGTTTATCGAAAACAATGGACGAAATACAAACGATTCAACCCAACTCCGATAAAATCGATCGTTTTGAAATGGTTTAATGGTATCTAAAACAAAATCTAGTATCTATACACGTTTGTCATTCAAATGGAAATGAGATAGATACAAAAAGGCAAGCATTGAATGAGAAAAAAATCAGTGTCACCCATGTGAAATGATGTAATGCAACGAAAATTAATTGCATACAATTACCCACAATCGTCGTCGACCAAATCGCGACATTTTTTTTAAATATGTTCACCTTCAATACAGGTCAGGACGAGCACAAAAATCAAACACAACACCACATAGCACACGTTCCAAACATATATTATTATTCGTTTTTATTGGCGATAAATGTGAACATGAGTCGCGATCAAAGCATCACATCATTTGTGTGCGCTTTAGGTCGAACGAAAAATAACATATTGAATCATTGGAGCGCGCTCATTTCTCAATTTCAATATGGGAATATGTAAATGTTGGCTGCTGCTGCTTTTGCTTTAATGGAATGATTTTGTTGATTTGTCACTGACGAACAAAACGATCGGGTTTATTTGAAATATATAATTTGCGAACGAATAGTCGGCAACACCGCGAACATAGTGTGTGGTTTGTATTGATTTGATCGTGTGTGACGGGGTCAACTGAATTATTCAATGCTTGATAAATAGACATTTTACCATATTTATTGCGCACCGAGATCACCAAAGACACGAATGCTGACCGTTGCCGTCACAACAATGAATCCTGCATGCCGCTCCGTTTGTGCATCGCATCAGATTTATTTTTGTCCCAACGATGTTTCCTCGTTAAATCTTTTGTTATTCAATATGTCCGGCTTTTTCTAGTGTTTTCGTGGGCATTACAAAACATTCTGGGGTGGCAGTTTTTCATCTTTTCGAAACGCTTCGCCAAACAAACGATGATTATTATTTTGCCCATCAAAATCGTTCAGATTTTATTTACATTGTTGGCATTGACAATTCACTGGTGAGGCGAGTTTGTTTTTGTTATTTGAGTGTGCATTGTTTATTCGCTGAATTGAACCGAAATAAACACCATATTACAATAAAAGGTCAATATTGAATAGGAACTGCAATGTTTACAAATAAGCTTTTCAACCGATCAAAACCGATATAGTGTTGGAGTTTTTGTTTCTCTCTCTTATCTAAAATTGATCATAAGCAGCGTAATAGCGCCACACTCTGTCACACACGATTGTTAAAGACTTATAGTTAAATATATCCTGTTGACTGTTGATTATAATCATTAGATTCGTTTCGCTCGATTAAATTATTACACATCATATTGTTCAAATACTTTGTATTATTTATTATGAAGTGTGTGTGCATGTGTCTGTAGGCACGATTTATATTTGCATATGATGAAAGCGAGATCATGGCAATTATTGTGTTTTTGCTAATGCAATATTAATTGCTCGGCGGCACGATAATATTTTTTTTTTTTGTTGAAAAATTGAAATTTTGCGTTCGTAAATGCACAGAGTGCCAATATCAAGTGAAGTCGGTAGGGTGTTGTTATTTTTGGAATACGCTTGAAACGTCGGTAAAAATCTGGTTAAGCGATTCTTCAAAAAGATGGATATAAATTGTACCATAAAATCGAAATACGCGAATTAAGAATAAAATGTAAACAAAATGCGTCGTAAGAGAATGCGCCACTTGAAATCGATTATTTACGATGATATTCGGTCAGAAAATAGAATGAATCTCAGTCTGGTTTATGAAAAAAGAAATACTAATGAATATCGCTGATGTTGTTTTTTTAAGAGATTCTCCGTAAAGTGCTAGTCTTTCGGGAGACGATCCCATTATCAAATTGAATGGTTGTTTATTTCATTCGATTAATATAGAGAATAAAAATGTTCGGCTGGAGTTTAAATTTTGCGGCTCTGTGTCATTTCCCCATTGTATTATCTTAATAACCGTCAAAGGATCACCCACGTGATCCATCGAAATGAAATGCGCGCCATTTGTTTCAATCGTGCAGCATCGTTGATTCCATTTTGAGTGGCATGTTTCATTTTGTTAAACATAAATAGATGCCATTTCCCGCGTTAAGCCCATATATTGCGTATATGTATGCGATAATTTATTCATTCCACGAAAATAGAACGGAATGCAAAATGCATAACGCTATCCATCTAAACTAAATTTCTCAATTCTTTTGTCGTTTCGTGTGAAAAACAATCAACGTACGAGTATTTTAAATTGTGTTTTTTTTTTTCATATGTTTCGTTCGTAATGCTATTGGAGAATTTCTAAATACGCCATAAAGTTAAGGCGATATATTTATAGCAATCTATCCGATTTCATATGGAAATGTTTGAAAATTGATAAGTTGGTAACGCGCAACATAAACGTGTGTCCCATTGAACTGCGGTGTGCGTGTGCATAGATTAAAAAAAATCGAATACAAAAAAACAACTTTCAATGTGATGAGATTCTAAAAAGGGCACAACTTATAACCAAAGTGGGTAATTAACGTAACACACAAACGAAAATAGATCCGACTTTTCGTATATATTGTTTATCGAATAACACATCCTTTCTGATTCCATACCGATTTTTTTTGTTTGTTTGTTTGCTTTGACTTACTTTCTGTTAATGTTTGTAATCCTGATATCGAGCCAAATTTAATCATGTTTATTTTGTTATGGCACACAGGTGGAAAGCCCATTACACCAAATGATGTTACTGATAGCTTATCAAACGGACACACGACAGAAAATGGTGCTGTTGTCGAAACGGTGACGAAAACGGAAGTAAGTATCGATCGCATAGGTCTTAACCTGATTTTCTTTTCGTTTCAATGAAAACCGATATTTTTCTCAACCATATGGCATGGCTTCAAATTCTAATTTATCGTTTTTCATCACTTTATAGGCGCCCCAAAAACTACAAAGCCCAAAAAATGGCAGCGGAAAAGATGCGGATCAGAATGGTGCACAAAATACTCAAATTTCAAATTCAGTTGTACCGGGCCCACAATCAGCTAGCCACGTTGTAGTCGACGATAAAAAGAAGAAAAAGTGTACTTGTTGTGTGATACAATAGAAAATTAAACAAGAAAAATGGACACAAAATCCACTAGTTTCAAATATGTTCAATGTTCACTATAACATGAAAAAAAAAATCCAAAAACAAAAAAAAAACTTATTTTCATAACTCTATGAATTTAATTCAGCTGAATGGACAGAGTTAAATTCACAAGCACACATATTCTACAAACTACTTTCGTTTTTTTATATATATTTAGATTGAAATCTAATTCAAAATAAAAAAAATCAGCTTTCCAAACACAAAAAAAAATAATAATAATTCAGCAACAAACCAGGAAATCATCTACACAAATTGTTCTATATATATATATATATATATATAAATACTAAAGTCAAGCTACGACCAACCTTTAAATTCTTGATATGAAACCGCGACAAATGCTAAATGATAACAAATAAATAAACAAAAAAAAATAATGAAACACCTTACTAAAGAAATCTTTATGTGTACGTATTTATACTGCATAATTATTAATTGTAATGATATGATATGATATGTAATTATCGAAATATTATTATTATATTATTATTGTAAAATTAGGACTAATTTTAAGTAAAATATGGATTGTAAAACAACCAAAATCCAAGCAAACAACAAATGCAAAACAACACGAAATAGAAGAGTATATTTAAAACTATATATTCAATTTAGTTTAAATGTTGCAATGATATGAATGGTTGAAAAGAAAAATGATTTAACAATCTTTACACAAGACACGTAAATACATCAATATAAATTAAATAGCAAACGATTTTTGTATTACTTTTTTTTTCTCTCGCTCACTTTTGTGTATAGCACTGCCTGTATTTATATCTTTTCTTATGCGTGACTCATTTTTGGCACATTGAATTTATGTGATTTCAATAAACTGCGTGAGCTTAGCAGACATGTCTGTAGACGGTCATAATCGACTCAATGCGATCAAGTAGCTTTTGCTATATAGTGAATGTATGACACTCGTTTGTGTAACGCACTGAAAGCGTAAAATAGTCAAATGTAATGCAATGGGATCACAGTATTCTTGGCAATGAATTTTCATGTATCTGAAGAGCAAATGTTAAATTGTCTTAAGATTTTGCATGAAGTAGAGAGCCAGTGAACTAGAGGTAAATTTTCATTTTTTTTTACAATTTTTAAAATAAATTAATCATTTATAGAAAAACACCTACTTCGGACAAGTTTAAATCAATGCAAACAGATATGATTAACATAATAACGAAGATCAAGGTTTTTGCCACAAACAAATGAGGCACACAAACTGATGTTTAGTTTGTAGACCAAGATCAGTCATTACAAAAAAATGAAATAATGAAATGTAATTGGAATATGCTGCACAGTTAGTCATACTATTGTCAAAATTTTGGTTCCTGCTTTTTTACAAAATACTAGTTTTTTGGACTTAAAGCAAATCGTGTTGCTATTGTAAAATAAATGTTTGTTCAAATAAAATCGACAATTACCAGAACTAATAATTCAAAATACTTTGGTAGTTTCCGATGCGAATCTTAAAAACTTAGAATTTTTTTAGGTCGTTCCCCACATTGATACTTCTCTGGTCATTAAATTTTATTGTAAACATTCCAAAGAAGACTAATTATATGGTTCGTGTGAAGTGTAAGTAAAATAAAACTCATTGCCTTCTGGATTCTATTTTAATCATGCTCATTTCCACGGCATAGATGAAATGTTCACTTTATAAATATGTTGTGAGTACATTGAACTGTCATTAGAAAGTGATCAAAGTAAGACCGGTAAGAAAAATCAAAAGATTATTTTGAAAAGCAATTTCAAATTAGTTATCGAGTAGCTTTTGAAATAAAGGCAAAGGATTGTGACATCAAAATTGCCTTACGTAAAAATGGAAAGCAGCAACGTTTTTTTCGATCCCATACTAGCGAATTTTAGCTATGGAATTTTTTTAGAATCAATTGTAAATGATATCTCAAGTTCAAACAAAATGCATCACATTCGTATCTCGAGTAGTCAAAAGAAACAAATTGATAGTTCTGCCGTACCTATGCAGGAAAAGGAAGCCACGAACCAAAGTTCAATGGGTATCAATTTGAAAAATAAAGTATACGCAGATATAAAGAAGAATATTAAAGAGCTAAGTGTAAGTTACAGTAAAAATGTCGGATATTGAAATTGTCATCATATTTCGTTTTCTCTCAGGTTGAATATCAAAATTCCAATGACCGTGTGAAATCCATTTCGAACCGCATTGGTTCGCTCGTTGAAAGTCTTCGAAAATCTTAAATGACTTGGCCAATCACTTTGATTCCAAATTAAATAAAACACAATACAAAATTTGTATCTAAACATTCTATTCATTTAATAGCATTTAATTTTTATCACTTTTTTGTAGTACACCGTTTAGTACTGATGGTATAGTCGAGGATTTATTTCGATGTTGTTTTAGCAAATTTTCGGCAATAGTTTCATCTATATTTTGTGGAAATGGTCCACGATTATGTTTAATATCTAATGCCATTTTTCTGATACTAGGTGAAAATGCTTGAATCAAGCAACCGGCAACCATTGTTTCGTAAGCTGAATACCTCAATCCGATACAATATGCTCTCGAAGCTCTTGCAACACTGGCAAACATGGCATAATTTTGCATTGCCGCTTCGCCCAAATTCCTAATTTCAATTTCTCGGTCCGCGATCTTTTCGCCGTAACTGTTCAACAACATCTCAGATGAATATTGCATACGTAATATTGAATATTCCAAATCATTTGCCGTCTCGATCAGCGATGGATGCAAAAAATCACCTAAGAAATGTTGTGGTTCAAGGTCTTCAATTGTGGAATTGGCCAGATTAAGTTTTGCCCAAATTGAATCCTTGTATGACTTTACATGCTTTCCGAAATGATCCTGAAAATTAAACACGAATTGGTTAACATTGACATAACTTTATATGCACATAATAAATTACCAATGTGTGCTGTAGTCCAACGCGGCCAACGTAACTTTTCAAAGCGCTGCTTGTTTCGTTATACTGAAGCTGAAGTGTGTTTCGAATATCCACATCGATTGAATGATCTTCTATAGTCACTGGTGTATCGATTAAATTCATTGCAAATTGATTTAAATTTCGAAGAATGTCTTGTGAATAGGCTTTGGTAATGGCACACTCCAGATCAACCTTTGGATTGTCGTACATGTCAAGAATTCCGGCGCTCAAATAAATCATACTTTCAAGACCATACAAATCACATGCGATTTTTGCTAGGCTCTCTCGGACATACATCAAATTCCTACCAACAAAAAATCAGATCATATATGATAATCAGAACTACTAACTAACATCTGTGTGTTAACTTTGATATCAGCTATTTACCTGAGTTTTTCCGAATTGCATGCGGATCGAATAGTAAATGTGACGATTTTATTAAACATATTCTTCGCTTGAACCATATTCAATGTGGCCATTTGTAGCCTTGAACTAGCTAATAGTTTTTGTGATATTTTACGATCATCCGTATTTTCCGACAGAATTTGATCTTTTTCAATACGAACATTCTCAAAATTGACGGTAACAAATGGAACATCATTGCATCCAATGGTTTTATATTCATCGCTAAAAGTGATTCCAGATGATTTCGGATCGAGAACAATGGTTAAGTATGCATCAAAGAAATCATCATCATCGTCATCGTCATCGTCTAAAGCAAATTCCTGTTTTAATTCGTCGGATTTTTCAGCAACTACTATCAATAGATTTGCATGCTGCGAGATTGATGCGAATGACTTGCTACCTATTAAGCAGGATGGAATTTAATGGAACCCTGAAGGAGCTTTGAATAGATTAGAAACAAACCATTTAAAACGTAGTCGCCGTCATGTGTTTTTGCTACCTTAACCATATTTGAATCGGCTTTGCTCAATGGCTCATGCAAGCAAGCGGCTCCAATTATTTCACCTAAATTTGCAAATAGTTATTTTACATAAGTGTCAACACAATTGCATGTATAATACCTTTTCCCATATCCATAAGCCATTGATTGTGGTGGCTAACATTTCCATGATCGAAAATCGCTTCAACCGCCAACCGATGTCCGGCTAAAAATAAGAAGCTTTTAACATCGTTCGCTTCGCTCTCACTTGCTCGATGCATTTCACTTTTAAAATAGCCCAAACCACCAAAACGTTGATGAACCGAAGCGCCAAAAAGTTTCATATTTCGAAAATCATTTATCATTTGATGTGATACATCACGAAATTGTAAATAGGCCGGTGTACAAGCATTTTTTGTGAAATAATTGCTTATGGCACTGATTTTTTCAGTCATTTCATTGAAATCTTTAACTTCCATAACTTCCGGATATGTTAGGTGTTGCACATCGATTTTACCAATGAAAAAGTTCTGAATTAATGGTGGCCGCTGCGGTAATTTTGTTTGAAATTTCGTGACAATATGAATATTATCTAAATTAACAATCTTTTGGATTTCATCTTCGCTGAGCGGTCGATAAGTTTCAATGTCTTTTTTATTTCGCGAAGATTCATGCTTTTCATTTTCCGGTGACGTCGTTGTTGACTGTCCACAAGATGATGACGAAACGATTGACCTTCGCAAACAATGAACTGATTGATTTTTTGCAAAAGTGCTTTTTAAATGTTTCAAAAACATTTTTTTTTTCTATTTTATTTACAAAAGTTATTTAGTGATTCTATGACATATTCACATAACCTCAATCTAATGACAGATCTGTAGGTGACAGTACGGCACAAGTCGAAAATTCTCCAATGTCAAAGCTCTGTCTTTCTCTCTCTCCATCGTTTTTCAAACTCAATGAACTTGAACTAGATTCGTTAACAAATATTTATGGTTTTCATTTCAAATTTCATCACTTACCCAGGCTGTATTGGCTCTAGAATCACCAGAAAGAGAAATGCTATAAAATAAAATGAAAACGCGCAAAGAAAAACACATCTTTTATTTCCTTTATGACATATAATTTGTTTATTATTTTCCGTTGGGCTTTTGGGATACATTATGTGTTGTGTGTGTGTGCTCATTTTATTTAAAAATCTACGGAAATTTTATGTTATTCATGTATTGTATAACTGAATTGAGCTGAGATCGTTTGTTTTTTAACTCTGCTCACTTGTTTTACCCAAATAATTTTATCATTTTCAATATGATAAAAATTCGTTTTTGTGTTCGAGCTAAAAATCTTGCCACTGTTAGTCAATTGATGCATATTAATATTATTATTATTTTGTGTGCGTTTTGAATTTTATCTCTTTTATATGGAAGGGCAAGACTTGAGGTTTTTTTTGGATATACTATAAACGATTTACATCGATATTCGTTACGTAGAAAATGGATGTTGTCACGTATAAAAAAGAAACATCTTATATTCACCTCGCCAGCAAACACTATGGAAAACATTCTAATACCAAAATGATAATTCGAAAATTAAAAAACAAATCGATCAAAATGAAAACAAACTGTAACGAAAAAAAAATTAATGGACAGAAAACCACAAGAAATCATAACAAAAGATCTGAAATCAATTCTGTCTTTTGGTAATTAAAACACAAATACTTATTATTATTTACAAAATCAGTATTTTTTTTCGCCGTTGTTTTCGTTTTGACTTTTATCAAAAGAAATTGCATATCAACTCATTATTAGTTTTGATTAAAACTGTTATATCATCAAATAAATACTTTAACCAATCAATATTCGGGCAGCAGAAGTGTGCCTGGATTGGATATCTCTCTCTCTCTCTCTCTCTCTCTTGTTATTTCTACTATTCTTAGCTTGTAATGTGATGGGAAAGCATTTTGGATTTAGTCTTAACTTTTAATAAATATGTCAATTACACACATTGAGAGAAGTTCAGCTAATCATTTCTAGATATACTAAAATGTCTACGTCTTTGTAGAGCTGTTTGACTCATTTGTATTTGCAGCTTTCTTTGTCTATTATTTGGTTCGATTTTTCCTGCGAATCCATATATTATGCAAAACTGATCAACTGAACGTTACTCAGCAATATTTAACTGCAAATCGTAATGGCCATACCTTTTTATTTCTTTTTATGGATGGCACTTTTAATTTGGATCGTCGAGTATACGTAAAGATTTTTTTTTTATATGATTTCATATAAAAACGGTGAGAAATGATCAGTCATAGAGCGGAAACAGTGACAAATCAAACTATAATTTTGTTTGAATTGAATGGGTATTTTTTCTTTGCCAATTTTTCAGTTCAAAACGACGCCATTTTAATTAATACGAGAAACACAGAGACAGGAAAATGTTACTGAAGAAATTTGTGGATATTGTGCAATGCACATGGACAGCGGTTTTATTATGCAATTCCGAACATGCTAAAACCAATAGGTCTATTCGAATTTGATGAACTTTTTCAGTCATTAAAAGCCAAACTACTTCGTTTAAATGACTAAGAAAATCCATGGAATTTTAATCCAATATCGTCGGTAGGAAAGACATTGTTTAATTAGAATAGGTCTATTGTTCTACATTTCGAATATGTCGATAAAATCGCTGTCCGCATGCGTTGTACATAAAAAGGAGCTGCGAAAATAGCACTGATATAGCTGTAACCACGATCTATTCACTGAAAACGTCAAATAACATTTTTATTCGCATTATTTATGAACACTCGTCTGCAGATGACGAAATAGATAATGAAGATAGGGATGAAGATGAATTTCTATCGGCTGATGCAACCATCATGACTGAGAGATGTCATATTGTAAAAACGCCATCTGGTGACGTGTGTGAATTGTGGTTGAAAACAAGCGATATGAAAATTTAGTTAAGACACCATCCAACAATTCCGTTTTTGTAATTTCAAAAATATCGGTCCAATGGACCTTTATACCTAGGAGGGTTAAAAAACAACCAAAATAATATTTAACGCGACATAATATTTTTCAAGAACAAAAGTCGGTATTTTCTTTAAATTTTAATTGAGGAGCGAGCAAAGCGCTGGTATGCTTAAAAAACTTGGTAGTAAACAGAAATTCTTCGGTAGTTAAGACAAATCCTTATTTTACGCTCTGATTGAATTTATTAAATCATTTAAGGCAATACTGATTGATGTTTGATTCATCAGATAGAAAAATGGTAGATCGTGTCCCAGCAGAGCTGTAAATTGCCAGTATGACACATCCCAGTGATAAGCGATACAAATTTAGAAGGGTCAATTATCGTAACTGGGTATAAAAACGGATAATATTTCTTTCGAATGTTTCCTGTCGATATATGGATTTTTTAAGTCGGTCGTTTTATTTAAATAGAAATTATAATCTTCCTTTTGTTGTAAGGATGGATGTTTCTTTAGATATATAAGATTGGATAGTTGCGTCTCTGAACAGCGTATATAAAAAAAGATTCCATTCAAATCTGAGTATATGTTATTGTTTTTTTGTTGTTCGGATGGATGTGTTAAAATGGAATGAAAGATACGGAAAGTTGAACTATCAAGTAATTTGAAAAAGCGCAATCCAATTAATTTTTTTTGTTTATCAAAATTGTAGTTCTAGCTAAACGGATGTGTTTTCTTGAAACCTTTGTTTTTCATTCGGCAAAAAAAGCGATTTTTTTTCTTTTGGAATGCTTAGAAAATTTGAGTTTTTTTCGCGTCTAACAAATAGCATTGCAAAACAATTTAAATTGTTCGAATAAGTTAATTTTTTTTTTGTTAGCAATCTAAGAAAAACAAAGTAATTTTTTTTAACTTCTAATCGTACAAGTTTCAAAATAAATAGCCAAAATTTTTGTTAAATGAGTTTATCTACGATTTTTTTGTATAAATGTACGGAAGCGATCGATGTCCGATCATTTCAAAGATATCAAAATTTGATTCTCTCACTAAATATATATCGAATAAATTAGTTAATCAATTGCATATATCGTTTTTTTAGTTCAATGGGGTAATGAGTGCGCGATGCGAATTTGTTATATATATAGTATTATAAAATATGTCTGGTTTTCTGCATGGATTCTCATCTCTCACTTAGAAAATATCGTTTGTCATTTTCATTTGCTAATAAATTTATGAAAAAATGAAATGCTAAAATCAGTTCAAAAACCCATTTCGTGTCTTTATATGTTTGCATATAATATATAATGTTATGTGACTTTTCGTATAAACACACATTCATAAAATGGCATGTAAATGATTCGTATTTCATACGAAAATCTCTATTCTTCGGTTTACGATTACAGAGGGTTAAATGTCTGTTATCTTGAATATAGAGTTTATATGCAATATTTTCTTTTCGCTATTTATGATATTAGTTATATAAATTTAGCATTTTTCCTGCCTTACTTGGTTTTCTTTTTACGCGACAAATACAAATTTTTAATTAAGATTTAATCTTTTCATTTCCTTACACACATAAATGTTTTAAGTACCGTTCGCTTTGGGTAGTGATCGAACTAAATACAATTTTTCGCCCTGCTTGTTTGTGTAAATTGGCGCTCTTTGGTAATGATCAACTGAAATCGAACGGGAAAAATATGTTTAGTTTAAAGTTTGGTGATTCATTCATAATTAGATTGATGTTTTAATATCATGGATACATACCCAGTTGATCTAAACTGTGGAATTTTCGTTGTCCGATACAGTACATGCCATTTTCGACATGAACTCGGAAATGCTTGTTACGACCAGGCGCTTTCAATGACACTGAAAAATCACCCATCTGAAAGAAATGCCAACATTTTAAATCGATCGTAAATCATAAATGGCAACCCGAAAAAATCCATTCAAAACTTACATTTGTTTCACTGTCTCTGATGAGAAAATCACCATCGTGTCCATGTGAATTTAGCACTGTATCACATTGACTCCGTGTAATGGCTCCATAGTACCAGCTCTTACCAGCCAAATTCGGACGTTCGATTTGATTGTTAACGTTATTTATTGGCGGTGGTGAAATGGAGCTCTTCATCGTATCATTGCGACGATCGATTGAATCATTGTTTGGTTGACATCCTCGATATGGTTGCGATAAATATTCTTGCAATTCTTGTAAATAATTTCGCGGTACTAATCCTATTTGGCCATTATTATTACGAGCTTTGTACCTATTTTGGAAATGAGATATGATCAAACCATCAGGTCATTCATAAAAAAAACTGAATTGCTTACCATTCTGGATCGGAAGCAGGCCTATCTACGATTTCGAGTCGATCACCTTTGTCAAATGACAGCTCTTGATCATTATTCGAATTGAATGAGTATAAAGCGACTACGATGTCCAGTACATTTTCAGCCATGGCATACGTGTGTATTTGTTCGTCATTCGTGTCGCATTCTTCGGTTGTATAATTGCTAGGAAACCAGCCGACAGCATTTCCGCTTTGGCCACGCCACCATCCATCGTTCGACTTTTCAAGTATGAGAATTCGTGTGCCTTTCGACAGCGCCAATTCGTCCGGTTGTTGAGCTTGATAATTGTATTTCACAATGGCGGTGCCTATCGCTTCAGCTGGATCGGGCGGCAAGCGTCGTTGCATTGTTGGACTATCGACGGTACGTGATGGCGAGCAATTCGGCAGTGTTTTTGAGCCCGAACCTTTTTTCACTTTTTTCTTAATGCTATCGAACAGCGATGGTTTCTCTCGTTTCACATAATTGCTCGGCACATAACCCGATTGGCTTCGATTATTTTGTACACGCCACCAATGCTTTGAGTCATCCAAAAGCATATAACGTTCATTTTTTCGTAAATCCAATTCTTGATTTCCCTGCGCTGCATAATCATATTTTGCAACGACATACACAATGTCATCCTGTGCTTTGCCCTGTTTCATACTGCCAGCCATTTGTGCAATTGTTGTTGTTTTAAATGGTGATCGATTCGACGGTGTATCACAATTAAATTTCACCGTTCGACGTGGTGTGTTCAATGACTCAGTTGAAATGAATTTGGTTTGATTTTTTGGTGTTCTTGGGCTCGATGCTTGCGTATGTTGAAAACCACAACGATGATGAATCGCAACGTCAACTAATTGTTTTTGTTGATGCTGTTGCTGTTGTTGTTGTTGTTGTTGTGCCACTGTTGCTGCTACTGTTCTCGTCGAGGAAATGGGAATATCTTGTGCACAACTTCTTTCAAACATAATCCCACTGAACGAATCACACTAAAACCGCTTCGTTTGCTCAATCGATCTGAGCATTTCTAAAAAGTTCGCAAGAAGAAGAAAGAAAAGAAGAAAGAAAGAAACACACATAAGAAATCAGTATATAAACATCATTAGAAATCTGTGCGATGTCGAACAATCCAATTTTATTTAATATAATACATTTTGTTTTCTTCTTTTCATTAAAAAGTGTACTCGGTACACACTTTCCAAGCGAAATTGATTTTAAAAACAATATTTTCGCGTACATATCCATAACAATAAATTAATGTCGACGGAAAATGTATGTATATATGTTATGGTGTATGGTTAAGAAACCGAAGAAGAAATACATCGACGCACAAAAACATTTCAAGTATTTGTTTTTCACTTGATGTGTGTAACCTTGCTACTAACTTTCATTCGGTTCGCTCAAGCTCATACAGAAACAAACAAACAAAAAATAAATACCAAATAACGGCATAACTAGCAACTACACAGACGCGCACACACAACGAACAAGAGGAAGAAAACAAAAGAAATCTCTCACTCTCAATTCTCTCTTGTTGCATGCGGTAATTCTTTTTTTTTGCAATTAATCCGTTGTTATGTTATGGGTGTTGTTGCTCTTGTTTTAAAGCATCACCGCCGCCGCCGCTGCTCGTATACGAAATATAAAAAAAGATACCGTAAACTTGTATAATATATAATAATATAGTCCAAAGATCGTCGAAATGGTAGCGTAATTTCATGATTTATTTTGTCAGTTTCATTGATGTAAATGCTGTTGCTGCTGCCGCCACTTCTGTTACAGTTCCCGGTGTTTTATACACAATGGTACATTCACTCTGGGCTCCACGTCCCACTGAATGATCGCGTATACCCACACCAATACATCGTATTTCAAATCGACGCGATTTATGGACGTGAGAAAAAGTCACCGAAATGTTCAAAGCGCGCACACGGTACTATATTAATTTCACGAACTCTCGACACAACAAACACACATCACCATCATTATTTGTCTAAATCCATTTAACGAGCATGGACTAAAAATAGCCGTTTTGGCGTGACTTTTTTTTGTTGGCTGTTATTGTTGTTGTTGGTGATGTTGAAATTGTCAACTTGCACAGAAGTGGCGACAGCAACAGAATATCTCAGTCGCACTCAGAACATTTTTTGATTCAATGTAACTACACTTTTGACATTCGCTTCCATTCTTAAATCATGCATTCCATCCTGATTTTATAAAAGATTTCCGATTGAAACTTACGACAATGTAAAATGTTAAATATGTGACGAAAATTGACGGCAACTTTTATGAGCAATGTTGGGATGATTAATGAAACAGACGGAACCAGTTTAGGTATTGGTTTTATTATCGATGATACACATAAAAATTGCACAACGAAAAAAAAAACCAACAAAGAATATTGCACTCAACCTAATCGCAGAACAACTTACTTGTTCACCAATCACACAAATGCACACACTCTTGCCAATAAAAAACTAACACAATGATATTTCAACTTTCAATTCTTTATACTGCTAGTTTTGAGTCAAACATCTATGTTCTGTTTTCGCTAGAATCATAGAGACGACAATAATGGTGTACTTTTCTGTTGTTGTAATTCAATGACAAAAAAAAAACAAACAACTGCATCATCACTGCGAGTTGAAACGAGATGGAATGACGTGAAAACACCGCACAAACGTACAAAATCCGCCCCAGCCCTTAAGTACATATATATTTGTCACTCACACGCACACATGTGTATTTTCACAAGTACATACGTACTTGGTTCAACAATCGATTCACTTCTGGTCTCTGCTGAGAACCGGAGTCACACAAATGCACGATATTGCAATAATACCTACTCTTTCTTTCTCTACTTACTTTTACTGCTGCTGCTGCTTGTTTTCGGCTAATGATATACGTGTATGTATAATCGTCAATGTGTTACGACACACAAATTTTTTTTTTCACCACCGAGTATATTTCGTTTCTTTTTCTTTTTAATTTATACAATTGTTAAATAACCACCACGAATTCAATGAAGTCTAATTTCTAGTTTCACACTTCTTGTTGTTTTATTTGCTCAATCGACTTTCTTGTGTGTTCCTTATTCGTTTGTACCGAGTTGAGAAATCGAAATATGCAAACAAATGCTCTTTCTGTACGTTTTATTGTATGCGAATACAGTCTGATGTTGTCTAGCGTGCGAAAGAGAAATACACAATGAATGGATGCGAACGACTTTGCGGTCTCTCTGCCGAGCAATAAATGTCAGTGCAACCAACAGCACAGCTACAAATTTATTTGTCATTTTACTCATACCATTTTTTATTGTTTGAATCGTCCGCGTTATGAACTTTAAATTGAATTTCATATGGGACGAATTAAGAACGAAATTCTGAAATTTGGCATTTAATAAATAAAGTGAGAATTTTTTGGACTTTTTTGAATATTTTTATTAACTAGTTACAAAGAAAGTTTCTTTTACAACACCAATAAAGAATGAACAAAAAGCGATGGGTGCGTTCACATAATCATTTCAAATTTACAATTTCATTTGGAAACCGAAATCGAATATCTAATATTTTAAAATTATTATCGAATATAAATGACTTAAAATCATAACAATTTAGGCAAAAAAATAAAAAAAATGAACATAATTTGATGGAGTTCTATGTCAGCTGTGTTGATGAGTAGATATGGTTCAACATTTTATTATTGAGCAGAAGAGACATTTCTTTGTGTGTGGTGGTGTGTTCTTAATCGCTGTACAAAGGAGATTTCATAACAAACGCAGTAGAGAGAACATACGACCAACAAAAAAAAATCGAAACTAATCATAACGTTTGTCGATTCCGTGTAGTGAAGACTGCTTTGTGGAAAATTAATTGTGAAATAATATTTTTGTGATTGAAAAAGTGCGAATCAAGAAAAGATGACAATTTTAACGAAACCAAATGCGGGTGCTAAAACCAATCCAAAAACAGTCGATGCATCTAGCGTTGAAAATGGGGCAATCAATGAACAGGTACATTTTCTCTCATTTAAATTCAATGGTTCCGTTGCTTTTGTGCAGTGTGACAAAATCACATTGCACTGATCTACTTCATGGCTTCTCCATATCTACACAAAAAAAAAAGAAAAATAACGCAAACAATGGTCCATTTTACGTGATGTTTTATTCTCGATGGCAAAAAAATCGATAGTCACAGTTTTTTTGTGTCAGTACTTCATTTTAGTCTGCTTTATTTAATAAATTCAAGTGGTATCACAATTTTCTGAAAAATGGCACATTTAGATATTTTTTCCATATAAAAACCACACTACAAAGTATATAGAATTTCATGTGTTTTGACTAGAGAACGTTCGGCGTAACCAAAGTACTGTGTCACATTTCATTTTGGTATTCAAATATTAGTTTTAAAACGAAAAAAAAAACACAATTAGATGACAATTTTTACAAACCAAATATGTAAAATACGGTGAAAAAGAGAGGTAGAGAGTGAAAGAGACAAATTGTCTTTCTTTTTTCAATTAGTGTCTCCATTAGACAGACATAATGACAAAAAAAAACAAATGGAACTCGTTTGTCGAACCACTTTTGTGTGCAAGCAACATTTGAAAATGTTTTGGCAAGACTTCCTCCCTATCAAAACATATTAATTCGCAGAATTTTTTTTTGGTTTGAATATACAATAGTGTAGCATTTGTATAATATAAATATCCTAACCAAATGTAGTTCATGAGAGGGTTTTTGCGTTTTACATATTAATCGAGGAAAATCAATAAATATGTTTGATTTTGTTACAAAATCGTGTTGGGTGTTGAAAGCGATTTTTGTATTATCCATTTTCGTATGTATTTAACAAAATAAATGAATTCCATTCATATTAATAACGACTCGTGCACCAAACAGTTACATATCATAATTGCCTTTTAATCATGTGCCCCGTTGAAATTTTATTTAAAACAGGAACGCAAATTGACACTATCGCATTTTCTTATCAGTAAAAAATTACAATAAAGTCATGACTAAGTGAAACGAATGAAAACAAAGCTATGAATATTCTTTATTACATTGTTTTGTCTTTTGTTTTTGAATAACTCTTTCAGCTTTTATTTTCTTCTTCTCTCTCTCTCTCTCCCTCTCCCAAGAAAATAAACATTAAAATATTGCATGAACAAGATTCGATTTAAAGAATGTCGTTGATGCGACTTGCGTCGTAAAATGTCGATTTATCTTGAGATATAATTGAGTAAATGCTTCATTCAAAATACAAAGGTGGCACATGAACTCAATTGCTCTGCATTCATAAAATTTTAAATGTACTGCTATTGATGCTCGATTCATGACAAGTGAAATAAATACAACCTTCACATGGAACTAGTACATTTAAATGATTTGACTATCGATTAATTTTCTGTATAAAGAAGCACGTATTGCACAGTCAGTTTAATAAACAATATCATCTACCCAACATGTATAACTTACGAATTGGACTGAAACAAATGCACTAATGTGACCTTTTTTTATGTGATTAGGATGAAAATGGTAACAACGATAAATTGTTTTTGTTGCGTGAACGTACTCGACGTTTCACTGGTTCCACATTGTTGCTGATTTTGGCCACATTCTGTCTCATGTGCATGGGATTTTTGATCGGCTTGGTCGTCTATCGGCGTGTACAACTGCAGCGAATGCGCTTCCATGGTATGTGCAATCTACCATACGACGGCAATTTTGATGACAATCGTGATATACTGAATGCCATGAATGCTATGAACCAAAAATTCCACGATCTACAAGATTAGTAAGTACAAAAATCAGTCCAGAGATATAAACAACGCAAAAATGATGACTTGACATCACAAGTATTTGATTCTATTTCATTCAACTCGACCGATCTCGACAAATTATTGTATTTATAATTTGACGGGTAATTTGAGTATCATTTACATTACTTTTTACTTTCGCTTATCTCGCCTTTAAATTTGTCATATATGAATAAAAAATTTGTTTTTCCAACGAGAGTAAAAAAAAATGTAGGAATTTCTTATCTGGATTGTTTATCGTTACAATGTAATTGTGGCTATATAATAAGGCTAATAAGATTTCGTCTCGTTTGAATATTGCCGATACAATGCATTCTGATACATTTTATAATCGATTTTTTTTTTATAGTTCTGCAGATAGTCTTCAGTCTGATCTCGGACTCTTAGATGATCGAAATGATGACATTTTCCGTGAAGAGTTCGATTTGGGTTTGAGCGATGATGATTCATATGCTAAAATCAATGTGCCCGATTTTCGTGATGGCCGCGTCGGTCGCTTTTTGCACGATTTCAAGTATAATCAAACCGCAATCATCGATGAGAGTGCAAAACGTTGCTTTGTAATGCCACTTGATCGTGAAACAATTTTGCCACCAAAATCTTTGGCCGATTTAATTCTCAAAATGTACATGGGCGAATACGACATCAACACCACATCCATTCGAAAAAATATGCGCGTTGTATTACCAGCTCTTACCGATTTGTCAACGATTTCATTGAATATTCAACTTGCATGCGACTCCATGGACATTTACCTACTCGATAATTACGTCGGTGGAAGTAAGAGATGTCAATTAAATATTATTTTTTCACAAGAAGCTAAAAAATCTGTTTCTTTCTCTTTACAGTTGTTAAACGCAGCGCTGAATTAGTACCGGGTGCAAAATTCACCGAATTTACTGGCAATTATATTAATTACAATATCATGAACATCGAAGAGTTGAATCGCAATTAGGCGATTGAAGTTTTTTCTTCACAAACAAATCTAAGTTCTTTAAACTTTTAAATTGCCGAATGCGCTATGAATAATATGTCGCAAATTCAGACATTGTATTGAGATATTTTCAGCCAGATGAATCAGCTCAGCCAGATATCGTCAGGAGCTGAAATGGAGTGAAAACCATAAAAGTGATTGTTATAGTAATTTTAGCAATGTAAGTGTTATTATAACCATCACTTCTATTTTTTTCACTCAATTTCAGCTCCTGACGATATTTGGATGAGCTGTTTCATCTGGCTGAAAATATTTCAATACAATGTCTGCGCAAATTTGATTTATTTCTTTTTATGATACGACTTTAGTAATGAATATCGTTTAATTATCTTATTGAATGTTCTCAATTAATGAAAAAAAAACCAAAGTAGAGTTAAATGGAATTAAATAGCATATGTCCACACAAATACACAGCATTCTATTAGTCAGAACTTTGGACCTGGAGTCAATCTTTAGTTCTCCAATAATAATTCAAATATAATTAAGTGTTTGCTATACGAAGAGATAAACGCATAAATTTTTGTTTAAAAAAGAAGTCATAAAAGTAGGTTCAGGGAAATTAAGTTTTTGGAAATTGTTTTTTTTTTTTAATTTAAATTCAAGCATTTATAGAGTACAGTTTTTCTCTTTGATCGTTATCGTTTTTGGTGGGATCTATATAAAATAATGTGATGCAAGTCTGTGTTTTCCTTTTTCTGTTTCTGTTTTTTAAGTCAATCTCAATTTTGAATAAATCTAATATAACATCGATTATATCGACACAGCAATTTTACCAAAATAAAAACGACACAAATCAGCTACCTATTTTGTAAAATGATTAAAATACAATAAAATAATAAACTAAAAAAACAAGATGGTTTTTCTTTCTCAATTTTATGGATATTATTCATAAGTTTCAGATTTTCAACAAATGAATGTTAGTCAGCAATTCCAAAATGTCTACTTTTAACGATGAAAACAAAGTTTTACATATACTGCCGCCGGAAAGTTTGGGTACGATTAACGATTTTCATACAAAGTGCCTCCACTCTCTCTCTCTACCTCTCCCCTCTCTCTCCCTCTTTTTGGGCTAGAGCCGTCAATTTTCTACTACTGTAGATCACAGAATGAACTGCATTTCATCTGAAAACAATAACTGTCCGAAATGACTTCAAAGTTTTTGGTATTCAAATTTGCAATCTCCTAAAAAATGATTTTTTTATATATAAAAAAATGGATTTTTCGGATTATCTGCGCTTACAACCAATAAAATCATATGATGGAATCACTTCTGAGAATTGATGTCTTCAGATGAAATGTAGTCGATGCTATGATCTACATTTTGTCTGAATAAACTTTCTATCGGAAATGACTCCTTCATGGTCCGCGACATGTGTGAAAAACAGTAATTTGTATGAAAATTGTTAATCGTACCCAAACTTTCTGGCGGCAGTGTAGATAAATGAAACACAATTCAGTTTCAATTTTGCATAATTTTTTTTTTTATTTATTGATGAAATTATGTGGGTGATATTTCCGTTGATAAGTTTTAAATAATTTGTGTTTTAAATGTTTTTTTCTCTTAACTATTATTTGTTTGTGGATTTTTGTCTCTTGATTTTTCTTTTTTTCATAGAAAGATTTTCTTCAATGATGATTACTTATTGACACTTTGTTCTGTTGTTGTTGCGATAAACAAACAATCTGCATACGAAATTGTATGAAATAAATAGTAAACAAATACATAAGCAACGAATGATTTATGAGGATGAGAGAGTGATCAACAAAACAACACTTTTAAAATATAAGTATATAATATAATCATTCGTTATATATCAAATGGACATTTCAACATAACATAGTATTCTTTCTAGCCAATCTGATTCATGCTTATGTTATACTGTTTCTTGTATCAGCTCATGCGCCTTTTTCATTGAATTGCATTCAAATAACTTAGATTATATATATTCAAATCGCAAATAATAATAATACGTGAGAAGAGAACTTATTATATCTGTAAAAGGGGAAATTTACCGGAATTGTTAGATAGCTTTTGAAGCGTTAAACATATATAAAATTATCACGATTCTCTTAATTATAACATATCTAAGGTCTGTTCTTTTTTTCCTAGTATTCTTTTTTTGCATTTGATTTTTACCATCTTCTAATCATTCTCTCTCGAGCCGATTCGTATGCTTATTATACTTTTTTACTTAACATCTACAACATCAGGGTGAATTTTGATTTGGTGATATTTAGTTTAGATCTTTTCAACTCGATAAATGTTCAAATTTTCGAATTATTATAAAGGAGTTCGTGCTGTTCTCAAAACCTCACACACGAATAACAATATAGAATATTTTTGCAAATGGTTCTAATCAAAGAAAATTTGATTGAAATAAATAAAGTTGTTATGTTTAACTGATTTGATTTTCTTTCGATTTCATAGCTAGCCTTTGCACTAGCTAAATTATAGTATTCAATGAATAAACGTTGTTTGCAGTGTGCACTGATTTGACTTTTATCTGAAATGCGAAAAAAAAACGTTGGTTTCAAAATGTTTTGATTTGAATTACTCATTCAACCCGGTTGAGGCGGATTTTTGTTATATATATATACTTGCATATAACTGTACTATCAGAAGAAACTATATATTACTTGGGTAATTTTTTTTTTATATCTTGCTTTCAATCGTAGCTGGATTGTTTTCATTTCGAATGCATGCTCAATTTCGCGACTATGACACTATATGTATAAATCTAGCAATGAGCGTTTTTTTCTGTACAAAAACCCAACTACGAATGATAATTTAGCGAGAAAAAGAGAGTTGAATCAAAAGGGTAAAGTCTAAAAAAATTGTTTTCTACAAAGTGTGAAATGTAAAAGTATCAAACATCAATTTCTATGCACATTTGCACACTTATACAGTTGATTGGTTGTTTGTTTCTCTACTGATACAGACACCCAAACTGTTGTGTTGGCCACTATTGCAATCATTTTCGATACGCGCCAGCAATTCCACCTTTTTCTGTTGTACTGTTAATAGTTCTTCACTTAATTCATTGCAAATTGTTATAAGAGATTGATTTTGCTCTTTCAAGTGGCACATTACATCGGATAAGTTTTTACTGTCGTTTTTATGCAAACCAATTAGTCTTGAATGTGGTTCAACACTTGCGACAGATTTTGTTGTAATTGAATCGGGTGGAGAGGCTGATTCACGTGGAGTTGGCTTGCGATAGACCTCAAATGCACTTGACCGTTGTGATGACTGAAATGATGGAATGGCCGGCCTTTGCGGAAGCTGTAAACCATCATCATTTTCTAATGATTGTGGCTGATTTTGTGATGCCTGCATGAAATTAAATCAAATTATAGTATAAGTATCTGATCGAATTGCTTATCCCAGCCTTTACAAGGCAAGGTCTTGTGATTCGAGTTTAACTTACATCTGAACCGGACTCTGGAAATTGAGTAAAATCGGCAAATGGTGAATTTCCTGTTTCTATCTGTGCATCAAGACTGGCTTGTGCGGTCATATGTGGTGAAACTCGAGGAGGTACCTGCAATTTAACCAGAGATGCCATTAAGACTGTGTGAGAACATTTGAATTGTTGAGAGAAAATTCCTACCTCTGGTGGTACTGGTGCGTTTAGTTTTAGCTTATTCAAATCCAAACTGCTGCTTCGAGCATGTGTTTTTTGAGGTCTGAAAATGATAATTAATGTTATTAATATATTAAATGGTAAGATTTTCTTCGTTGAATGAATTTTTACCTCGGCGGTGGAGGTGGTGGAGCTTCTTGTTTTTTCATGAGAGTGGGCGGTGCAGTATCCGTTGTGTCATTGTTGTTCAACGATTCTCTTTGCGGTGGCGGTGGAATTGCGCCAATGCTATTTTTATTTTGAATAATTTTTTTCGGTTGTGGTCTTTGTATCGCTCTAAGATCATTCTGTATTCCTGAATCACGTTGTGCGGCATACTGCTTAGGGCTAGCCGTATCTGTATCTCGAATTGTAATGATTCCACCTTCGTAGATGTGATTTTCCGACTTTCGTTGATAACTCAATCGATTGGCCTCAGTGTCATCGTTGTTGTTATCATTGGCGACTGGTGTAATTCGTAATGGTAAAGGTTTTAAAATTTGTGGATCGGAACCAACCGCCTGTGCCGTTCGTTGCATATCAAAGTTGACTGGTTTCAAACCAGGACTTGATAAACTCGATGTCGGCGATTCGGTGAATTTCGTCCATTCTTTGCTACTTTGATTGCACCATTCCTTTGTCGTGTTGACAATCTTATTCGATTTTGTTGGTGATATTTCCAATTCGTTAACTGGTGAGCTTGAACTTGTACTTCCTTTGTTGCTATTGTTGTTGTTTGGATGTTGTTTGCTTTGGATTGTCGTCGGTCGGCTATTGTTTCCTGTATGACCACCGATTATTGGCTGTTTTTTTTCCGCCGTTGTTGTTACTGTTTTGACGAATGTCGAATTGTGTTGTGCATCCAAATTCGTTGAACTGTCTATGTGATCCTTATCGTCATCCAAATGCAAAAGATCCGCCTCAGCCGGCTGACATGAATCAAAAAATTTACTACTTGGAATTAAACACTCTGGCAGAATCGGTGGCAATGGAATATTATTTCGACGTGCCACAACCAAATGCATGGCAGCCGCAAATTCGGGCAAACTCAGTGCACCATCTTTGGTTACATCACACAATTGCCAAATGTGTCGCAGCTCTTCAACCGGAATGCGTGACTTTTCGAAAAATACTTTGGCTGCTTGTCCTGATATTAGGCTCTTTAAATCTGGTTGAATGGTTCGAAACTGTTTGATATAGTATTCTTTTTGTTCGGGTGTTATTTGATATACAGCCTCTAAATCAACGTCATTATCTTCTTCGCTGCTATGCCGATCGGACGACTCTTCTTCAGTGCCCAATAATTGTGTACGTTCCTCTAGTTGACCTTGCCATAAGGGATTCTTCGCCCACGGTCGCTCAGCAACCTGCAAATGGTCGGAAAATTCATTATATTGACCTATTGTCTGCGAAAACAGAAATACTTACGCTATTTGTTGGTGTAGGTGAATCACTTGCCGTGCTCCATGCATCAGGTGAGCCAGCCCGACGCTGCATCCATACAAATGTACAACAAAAACCGAAAATTGAAAGCAAGCAAATTACAATTAGCTTTAATTAGAAAATCTCTATATGGATGATTAGAATGCAAATGGAATGAAATTTCAATACAAACCGTGTGTGTTTTCTTTTCGACTGTGTCATTCTGTTCGACTTCTGAATCGGTGCTGGTGATGTCTGAATTGGCAATATCACTTTGCGCATCGGCTCTAGCCAATTCAATGAGATTTGGACTGTGGTCATTACTTGATCGCCATCGATTCAAATCGTTTATTTTGCCATTCAATGATTCCGTCCGCGGTGAAAATTGAATAGGAGATTCTTTCCAACTGAATTTTGGTAGTGGCAATGGAATCGTTGACGCAATCAACTCTTGCCGCAATGGAATCGCACTTTGATGTGCAGCTATTAACTTAAGACACGAATAAAACTGTACCTTTGACATATATAGAGCTGCCTGCGGAACATTTGCCAATGACATAATCTGCAAACGAATTTCGAAATAATGAGAACAAAAAAAAAAGTAAATTTTATTTCAATTTGAATTCCACATCGTTTGAATGAACGAATTTAAGAAACTGTATGCATTCAAGCGATGACAACATTAAAATCTGACAAATCTAACGTACATTTTTTACAATGTCATCCGATATGTTTGACGACCGAAACATTTCAGTGGCTTTTAGAACGGGCACTTTGCCCGTTTTTTCAATATCACAGCATGCAAATAAATCGGAAAAATATCGTGATTCGAGCTCAGTAATATTCACTTCTTCCATGATTCGTCGCTAACTTTACACTTGCTATAAATTTTCTGCGATTGCAAAATGCAAATTGAGTTACTCATTCACTGTTTGGTATTAATCAAATGGTTAGATTTTTTATTTTATCTCGAATTTATGCATTCGATACACAGCATTCATGTACACACACGGTTTTAGTGTCGGTTGCACTACGTTTTCTTTTCGTTGTTTTTGTTCTGCAATAATTTTCTCAATTTCCACCCAACCATCTGTCCCCGATGTACAATCGAAAGAAAAGAAAAAAAAGCACTGCACAATTTTACGGATTGTTTTTTTTGTTCTGCTTCACTTTTTCATCACGCGCACAAACAATGGATGAAAACAAGATGAGAGATTTTGACAGATTTTCGTTTTTGTGTATTATTATTTTTTTTTTTTGATGGCTGGTTTTACGCCATTATCATATCAACTTGTCGGTCCGTCAATTGATGAAAACTAAATACATTTCATTTGTTCTTTTTTTTTTATTTATGTCATATACAGATGTGTAAAGTATACACATCAAAATGTTCGTACGCACACACGTGACGATGAAATACGGAGCAAGAGAGTTGTGAATGTTTTATATGTATGTGTGGTACTGCTGCTGCTGGTGCTGTTATTTCTTTGGGGACCGTTCGCTTTTCGTACATATGTATTTTAACTGAATGCACACATTATTTCGAATGCTCAAAACGCTCGGTGCGTTTTGTTCCATATTTGAATATAATATTAATTGAAATTAAGGCCATTTCAATTGTTCTCTCACTCACAAGCTCTTTTTTTTTTAATTTTTAACACTACAGAAGAATAAGTTGATTTTATTCCGAAAGTCAAGTGACGAATGTGTCGAATTGTTTTGATTTTTAATGCAAATTACACTGTTGGATTCGTCGACTTGACACGAGTTTTTATGGTTATTTTTGGATTTTGGCAATACATCAAATATTTGACACTCAGTTGTGAATGAACAATTTATAGTGAGTATTTTAAGCTAAAAGTCAGTCGGAGTTTTATGTACTCATAACACTTCAATGGGTTTTCTAAGGTCATGGCATTGGGATTTGTTTGCATTCTCAATGAGATTGAATTGTTAAACATATCAACGTGAATAGTTTTCGACCCTCTTCCAATGAATTCTTGAAAAAAATATCCAAAGCAAAGTGCATCCATGAATACAATAAGTGCAGTCGCATTTATTTACATTTTGAATTTCGAAAATTTTCGAAATTAAATCTCGTCTCATATGTCAAACGCTGTCGAAAGAAAAAAAACATAACAAACATTAAACGTCAAATGAATCATTCAAAGTATCATTTACAAATTGAAAGACAAAAAAAAGCTGCCAAGTTTTTGTGTGTGATATAGATATCTGACTTAATTTATTGTGTTTGTAAGATATTTCATTTGTAAATTGAATTAAATCTAAAAACACTACCGTTTCGATGGAGCGTAAAGATGAAGCGGCCGTCGAACGCCAAAAATTGGTCGACGATGGAGAAGTTGAAATTGAAGACGACCAAGCAAATATCACAACAAACGTACCACCGACCAACGCACCAAAATCCGTCCAAACACCAAATTCACCCGTTTTAAGTAATCGAGTATGTATTTCAATGTTCATGCGATTATTTTTATATTGTCTATAACAAATACTCCGAAATGCAGTATCCCAAGCAATTAAATCATATAAAAAGATAATTGGGCGTGTCATCATTTTTTCATTGTAGATATTTTCGAGTGGCGAAACAAGCCGAACACAAGATTCTAGCAATTGTTCTGTCATCAAAGGAGGTGCCAGTGAAGCACCGCGGCTTGTTTATGTCAACGAAAAAGAACAGCGTAAGCCACACGACCCGAAGACAGAAAAGGCCAAACCACGAAAACTGCCCAGAGGTAAGCGCACATTTATTTTAATTTGCTTATTCCATTGTTTGATTTACAATTGATTAGTACAAGCGTTTTTAGAGCAAATTAGTAGCAATTTATTGCTTTTAATTTATTTCATTGATTTGAATTATTTTTCATGTCATCATTTATGTATACTTGGTTTATTTTATGTTTTACATTTGTTCAAGTTCATTTTGTTTTTTTTTTTTTTTTTGTTTTTTCGCTCTTTTTTGTTGCTTTGTCTTCGTTTTCTTTGGCTTGATTTGTCGATATTAGGCTTGCAAAGTAATTTAGATGCACAATCAAGCGCTAGTTTCGACACACGATCACTCAAACATCATTCATTTCAATCAGAAGTCCCTGATGTCCGCCATATGGAGAAAGCACTGTTAGGCCTACTGGACGATTTTCACTCGGGGAAATTGAAAGCATTCGGTTAGTGGCAGTTCAAACTACTCGGCTTAAGCTAAGTGACATTCTTTAATATGGATTTGTTTTTTTTTCTTCATCAGGATTCGGTTGCACCATGGAGCAAATGACTGATATTCGCGAGCAACAAGAGAGTTTAGCGAAGTTACACTTTGAGCTTGGTTCAGGTGGTGGTGACCCATTCAATAGTAAAAATGATCTCAATGCACAGGAGAACATGTCCAGATTGGTTCAAAAATTAGAAAATCTCTCCGTGTCAATAGAAAAACTTCACTCAAGCAATACAAACTTATAATTTAGAATTTCCAACTGACTGTTGAAGGAAAAAAACCCTTTGGATATGCAATGTTTTATATGTTCCGCGTATTATTATAAGAAAACAAAATTAAATCCATGAAAGTGCTAATAATAAATAGATAATAGGATAAACATCGAAAAAAGTCGTAAGATAACTAGCTTTTTATGTATGTTAATGCTTTTTAATTGAAAAAAAAGGAATTCTTATTATTGTTTTTGGCTCAATCGTATTGTAAATGTATTCTAAGAGATTTTATAAACAGCTTCCGAACAGCATTAGGTGAAGATATACTTGAGAAAGTTCATTCTTCTTCCATTAAGAGTTTGTGCCAGAAACTTTACCGTCAATGACAACTCTGATTGACACAGGTATAATTTGAATACATCAAATTGTCTCGGCAGAAAAATGAAAATTTCAAGCTTTTTTTTGAACTAAAAAAAAAACTACCCCCTAAGGGACCTTTTTTATCCAACTTAATTTCTGGTGCAAATTATGTTCAATTTTTATTTCGTTGTATTTTCAACCTAAAAGGAAAAGAAAACCCTATGAAAAAATATGTATGTAAAATTCTAGTAAAATGAACGAATTTTTTTATTGATATTTTTTTGTTTATAATTTCGAATTTTATTATTTCATAAAATTGTAAAGCTTACATACGAATAAAATAGAAAAAAGAGAAATCAAAATAAAATCATCTGTGTCAAGTTAATTTTTCTTTCGGCGTTTTGTTTGCTTTTCCTCTTCGTGATCTTCTCGTTCCAAGAATTCGGTTGCCTTGGCCAATGGATCACCTTGGAAAATGTCATTGAATTCATTGAAAATGAACGTAGTTTTTGGTCGATTAACTTCGTATGTAGTCTTTTGCTCCAACCGATTGACATAACGATCTTTGGCTGCTTTTCGCAACATCTGGCGATGACGACTGGGGCTGACATAGTCTGGATTTTCCCATAATGGTTCACCACCAAATGATCCCTCAAATATTTTCACCGGATTCATCACAAATCTTGGTCCAATTTCACACAAACCACCGTCTTCAGATAAAATTTGAAAGTTTCTAAACCAAATACGTTTATCCAAAAATGTGAATGAATAAACATGATCGAAGAATGGTTGTGATTTTGGGTGATGCTTTGGAACGCCAAACACTTGTGTGAACAATTCCTTAAGTAATTGTAAATATGGCAGTTCGTCAAATTTTGGATCAAACGACAACAACGGACGCGATCCTCTCAAACAATTACCGGTCAACTTAAGTTCGCCCATTGTGTGAATGTTTTCGATGAGAAATTTGGCAGACGGTCCTTCTGGTACATTTGAAAACCACATGTACAAATCTTGTTTACGACGACCTTCAAACAAAATGGCTTTGTTGCAATGTTTCATGCCGCAAACTTCATTCACCACACTCAACGTTTTCGAGCGTTCCATTTTCGATTCTTCACGATGGTGTGGCATCAATGTTCGTAAATCTCGCATCAAGTGACGATCACGATGATTTATACCACGCGCAGCAAACACCAAAACACGTTGTTTGTTGGTCCAGTTTCGCTGCAAAACAAAAATAAGTCATTAATTTGCCGTTTCTCAACTATGAAACGCATGTCATTTCTTACCTTATTCACATTCGGCAATGGATCGTCTGATTTTCTTGTGCCAGGCAATGGAATTTCTTCATTTTCTGGTTTCTCCATTTGTTGTACCTTTTTCTTCTTTTGCGACTTGATTTTTGCCATTTTTTTTACTTTTTCTTTGCTACGATTTTATCACGCGTTCGCACACCTCGGGCTTTTTGTTTGAACTTCAACCAATGTGTCAATGCAATGCAAACACGCGGTGTGCGTTTGACAGTTCCGTAATGAAAAAAAGGGTGCGTTTAATGATGTGTCGAAAACAGACTGAATCATTGTTTTGACAAAAACAGAAAGAATATTATTTTGAACAAAATTAGCTTAAGTAAAAAATTTGATGTTAATTTTTCTTTTGTTTAATTTAATGGAGAAGAAAGCGAATCGATTTTTATTTGCTTTGTCTATCGAATGAGATTGCCGATCTTAACTGTCATCTCATGTGCGTCTTGAAGCATAAAAACAATAGAGAAGAAAGTGTCACTCACACAATACACACTTGCATTTTCGTTTGATGCAGTAGTAACATTTGTGTATATAGAACGAAACAGAAACAAAAAAAGAATGGACAAAGCCGAACTGGATGTATGAATTATTTCAGTGGGACGATAGCATTGGGATAGGCCAAGTTATATTGCTTTGTTTGTGATTTTTTTTTTCGTTTAGGCTCGCCATTTGTGTAATATTTTGTTTTTTTTTTAGTTCTGTTGTTGTTGCAAATTGTGTGGCCTCTATAATTCCGTTTCACTTTCATTTAATTAACAAACATAGTGCCAGTGCAAATATACTGTGAAGTATAGAAAAAACGAATTCATTCGGAATTTTGCTAATTTTATTTATAAACTTTGTGGAAGTTTTGGCAAAAGAAGAGGATTGTTAGCGTTTTTCAAAGAAATTCGTGTTATATTCATGTGAATTAAATGGTGCATGGTGTTTACATTTGCCTTATCATTGTTTGTAAGTAGCTGAAATATTTTCAAAATTCTCTAATTTACCGATTCATCATGCCAAGGGCATTCATTTTACGAGCATATCATGAACAAATGATTTCATTTCAAGCTTGCTTTTGCGTTCTTTTTTATTTCTTTGTCTTTTTCGGGATCCCCGAATTTTGTTTTCGCAACAATAAGCGTGTCGTACCGTAAAGCCCTAGGGGATATCCATGCGAATTAGAATTAGCACATTAGCAAAAAAATAGGGAAATTTACATGAAGAAAATAGCAAAATTAGCAATAAATAGCAGAATTAGCACTGTACACGTATATACTTTAGTAAGCATTTATTCTTGAATATATTGAAATAATTAAATAAAATAAAATTCACAAAACAAACGAATTGAATAGTGTTGAACTAAAATGTATCAAAATATGTAGTTAAATACGCTTTTTCTCATTTTTAAATAAAAATATTTATATTCAATGGCACGTAACCAAGCACGTTTTATCTGTATTAACTACAATTTACGAATTGCAATCGGAAATGTAGATTTGATGACAGATTTCTTACTGAAAACGTATACGCTAGTGCCTGCTTCAAATATACACGTTGAAAGTGTCAACTTGAAACATTTACGTAAACACATTTCAGTTATTCGATCATGCTGTCAATCTGACGTATGCAATATTTTTGACGTACTAGAGAAATTAGCAAAAAATAGCAGTATTAGAACAAACTAGTAGAAATACTAGCAGAATTAGTGAAAAATAGAGAGAAATAGCGTTTATTATTATAAATTATTCGATCTGCAATTCACGGTTATCCCCTAGGTAAAGCCACTTATCGAACAATGGTAGAAGACTCCATTCTGCTCACTTAACGTAATTTATAAAAATTATATTTAGACGAATATATTTTCATTAAGCGTCGGTGTGGAATCGTATAACATCGTGTGGATTGCCGATGAAACGACATTTGTTTTGATTATGTTTACAATGCGATACAATATGAAATGTTTACGGTTTTCATCAAGCTTTCAATCGTGTCACTTGTATTTATACCGAACTGTGAATTGAATGTATTATCGTATTTTGTTTCTCTCTGTTTCAATTTTTTTTAAATAGAAATCGGCATATTTTGTTCGGATCAGAAACGTTTCGGTTATCAGTTTTTCTATTTAGTAATCATCTCTCAACTTGCATTCAAACTGATTGCATCAGACCTAGTAAGTTGTGTAAAAATAAACATTAATGATTTGATCAATTGGTTTAAACGCTATGCAACGATAGATTTGATTGTGAACTTTTGATTATTCGTTTTTTTTCGTTGTTGAAAAAATGACAAATAGTTATTTATTATGAGTTTTCATGGCGTGTGATTTCAAAACATTCATGTCATGCATCTGCATCTAAACTATATATTGTCTGAATCTGATAATTTTTTTTGGTGGTCTAAGCAATTCTCACTTTGAAATGACTTCTTTGGCTCGACTTGTTTCAGATTGTGATTATCAAGTGACAAGTGAACATCAAATAACATACACACGATCTTTTCTTACAATTTTTTGGACACATTTTTTGAATTATAGCATCGAAGATATAGAAAAAATCTCCAGTTTAATCGTCGTCACGTGAACGCTAAAGCTTCGTTAAATACCATCTGTTATTATTCTACGATTTAATTAATTTACTTTCCGTTTCCAACGTCAGAGATTTACAATCGCATATTATTGATTCTTTCATTTACGGATTCCTTTTTGTTATGCTTTTGATTTTAATTCCGTTGGAATAAAATAAATTGAATATGTCACAGAACCAGCATGACTCACAAACACAAACCCAAAATAAACGGTGCGTAGTTCAAGTCGTATACAAAAAAATATCGTTTTGGACTTTGACAAACCACTTTTTGTTACATTATTCGCCATACATTTTGAGCCATTGATTTTTTTTCTACATTTACATTCCACACCGTTCCACACGTATTATCCCACATTTTTTTTAATATTATTGATTAGTCATTTTTCTTATTATTTTGTTACGGGTCACATTCAGATCAATTTTCTCGTTTTTTTTTGTGCATTACACTCGCAATTAATTTAATTAAGTCTTACAATTTTTGAAAATTCTGAAAAATATCAAAAACGATCAAGTTCAAAGCAAAAACGATTGTTGAAACGATTACATTTTCCGATATATAAGCTAGTAAACCTAATAAATTTTATTATTCAATAATATATCGGTGGTTTAAGACTGTTATTTGACAACAAAAGTCGTCGTGAAAAAATACTATTAAAAGTCATGTCCATATTGGTCCTCATATTATTACGCGTTTTTTTTACTAACCACATCGATTTCCCCCCATAAGATTATCGATCGACAATATTCTTTTATTCCAAGCTGGAATAATTTTAATCACAAAACCAAATGCATATGCACTTTAGACCTCTGTCAATAAACACAGTTCTCCGAATCGCATACGATAAAATTATCGCAATAAAATTGCTGACGGCCTGTTTATCGTAATGCAACACAACGGAATAAAAGAATTTTGTTTTCATTCTGTAATAATTGTTTTGAATTTTACTTATCACCGGAACAGAGTTCAAGTATTGCGCATTTTTCTAAAAATATTATACATAATTATTATCTGCTCAGTCGCATTAGAGAGAAATCAGTGTTTTTTCTTCAAAATTAATTGTCCGTTTCATCTGATAGCAAGTCTGATAGTGAATGATTGACTTAGAAGCATATTTCCCTTTTTTTAATGCAAATATTTTTTGCAAATATTTTCAGAGAAAAACCCAAAAGAGAAGAGCAGGAACTCACTATCATAATGTGTTTACGATGTCATCCGCAATCCAGGAAATATTGGGTCTTCGGATGTGGAACATTTTTTGTACTGTTGGCATTAATTGTCGGTTTGCTTTGGCCAGCTATTGCCAATTTAATTTTGCACAAAGTAAGTAAAAATGAAACTGAATTAAACCCAGAAACCCATTTAATTATTTCGTGAATCTTCTCTTTCGCTCCTCGCAGCAACTGGAGTTGAAGAAAGGTTCAGTAAATTATAAAAACTGGATTGAGACACCGATTCCGATGTACATAAAATTCACGATGTTCAATTGGACCAATCCGGATGACATACGCACACCAAACTATAAACCGAATTTCGTTGAAATGGGCCCATATGTGTTTTCGGAAAAACATAAGCGTGTTAATGTTACGTTTCATCCGGAAAACGACACCGTATCATTCGATCAAATTCGTACATGGCACTACATACAGAACATGTCGAATGGTTCGCTAGATGATGAAGTTACAAATGTGAATGTTATTGCGGCGGTAAGGATTATCTACTTAATATTTTACTAATTGAATTACGGAATAAACGATTAATCAATGTTATTTACAGTCAGCTGCATTTTCACTCCGACATTCGAATGCGATAATAAAAATGGGCGCAAATGCAATAATGGACGTGATGAAAGTGAAATTAACGGTTACGAAAACTGTTAGAGAACTATTGTTCGACGGATATTCCGATCCGTTTTTAACATTCGTCAAAAAGCTACCAGTGGGCAATGCGCCGCCATTTTCGAAATTTGGATGGTTTGTTGATCGCAATGGATCGTGGTCGTATGATGGCCACTTTGAAATGCGTTCGGGACAAGCGGACATTAAGCAAATGGGATCGCTAACCGAATGGAATTATGTGAATAAGACAAAGTATTATCATGGCGATTGCAGTAAATTAAAGGGAACATCTGGCGAGCTTTGGCCAATGGACATGAATCCAACTGGTGATATATCATTGTTTGTCACCGATTTGTGTCGACCTTTGACACTGTCATATCAACAGCAGCACACACGATTCGGTGTGACAGGAAGTCGATGGGTGGGCGATTCACGTGTATTCGATAATGGACGAAATTATCTACCAAACAATTGCTATTGTACTGGAGCAACAGAATCATGTCCGGATTTGTTGAGTGGTGTTCATAATATGTCCGATTGTCGTTTTGGTGCACCCGTGTTTGCATCGTTTCCGCATTTTTATCTCGCTGATAAAAAATATGTGAATAGCGTCACTGGCCTAAGTCCAAATCAAAGCAAACATGAATTTTCTTTGTCACTTGAACCATATACAGGAATACCGTTGGACGTTGATGCCAAAATTCAAATCAACGCTCTCATTCAACCGATTAGTCATTTCAAGTGAGTTGATTTTTCTTTCTTGTAACTATAAAAAGGAATCTGAATTGAATGGAACTAAGACAATTTTTAAATGTTCCTTTTTAGATTATACGAGAATATTCCAAAGTTAATGATTCCCACATTCTGGTTTTCTCAAACCGTGGAACTTGATGAGAAAATAGCAAAGAGCGCAAAGGTAAGATCTTTCTTTCAATTACATTTCATTCAACTCAATATTCTCGTTCATTTGCAGATTGCACTTCAGCTGCCATCGATTGGACTATATCTTGCCGCTGGTGTTTCTGGCCTCGGTATTATATTGTTGCTAGTAGGTGCTATACTAACAATCACAAAGTCATGGAGTGCCTATCAAAATCTGGAAGATGAACCAAACAGCGATAGCACCACCAGTTAAAAAAAAAGAAAATGCCACACAAATTTACATCGAAACTAGTCAATAGACCGAATTCTTTGCCAAAAAAAAAGAAAGTTTCAAAGTGGTAGACGCCATATGCAACGACATGAACCGACTTTATTTTTAAATAAATTTTAAATATCTTAAGGTAGATTCAGTTGTGTAATTCAATTTTAATAATTGTGATATATTTTCTCTTTTTTTCCAAAATTCCAAAATGTTTAAACGAATGCAATTTCAAGTGCCAATGCTATAAAGATATGTTGCATAGGACGAGCCTAAAAGTGTCTTTTACGTGTATTTATCAGTGAAGTGAACTAAAACCAAACCATTTCATTGGTTTTACTTACCGAACGAACCGGAGCAATCGGAACGTTCCGACAATGGGTTACACTGTGCAGTATACACACGACCGTGCAATGGCTGTACGTGTATTAGTGTGCATTGCTATTCACGTACACATACGTCGCCATACAAACCATTCTCGGAACGTTCCGCTCGCTCCGTTTCGTTCACACAAAACGAAACCAATTCCGAGATACCGCTCCGAAATCGGTTTGTATGAGAAATGTCAAACCGGTTCACTTCACTGGTATTTATATACAAACGTCGTTTTCTGAACTTTAGAAGAATCCCCCTACACTAATGTAAGAGGAACTAGAAGAATAGGAATTGGATAAATTTCCACTATTGTATATTAAATAAGACATGAACCACCACAAATTTTTGTTAGTTCAAAGACTATAGGCTACATACAGCGCCATTCAATATATGACAACTATAATCGTCCTATGATATGTTGGCTTGAGTGCTTATGGTTTACACGGAAGTAAAGAACGACATCAAGAATGGATGGGTTTTTATAACCACAGAAAATTCTTCCATTATCCATTAATGAATAACCAGACCGGAGCATTGGCATATGAATGAAAGCTGCTCAGCATTAAATTGAATTGTAATTAAGTAAATTGTTTGACCGTGTAGGCTCCTTGGACGAAAATGTCGATCATATCAGTGAGAAATGCGCAGTTTCAGAAACTGATAGTCAATTTTTTTTTAAAGAAGCATTACCAGCACGGTATTTATGCAGAATACCAAATACAAATGAATAGTCAATATTAAATCGATACCAAATATGAAATTTAGGGTGAGACACCTATGAGTCCAACGTAAATTTGGTGAATCTCGTGATTTCTTTGAATCCAAAAATAGTTCTTCGATTTCAACGTATTTTGAGAATTTGACATTATAGCGCTATGTCGCTATTATATATATGATTTTTCTACATTTTATGTCAGTGTGTACATTACATATAGAACAGTAATGTGCGAGCTACATTTTACAGGGGGGGGTGATTTTTCAAAAACTAAAAATTCTCTCATCTGAACAACAAATTTCGTTTTTTTTTTTTTTTTTTTTGCTCTTCACTTTTTTGGCGAAAATCCCTAGCAAATCGAAAGAATTTTCTCCGCGCAAAACCTCAGGAAATTACAATAAAATCGTTTTTTTTTTTTGGAAGTCACTTTTTGAGGCGAAAATCCCTAGCAAATTCGAATAATTTTCGCGAAAAAAATTTTCTCATCCAAAGCACAATTTTCTCATCGAAATGCATTCAAGGTTGGTTAAATTTTAAACATTTTGTGAAATCATTAAGGTGAAAAAGTCTTATTTATTTAAGAACTACTATATTAGTTTGGATTTCACGTCGGGTTTAATCTAAATATAATTTGATTTCAAATTTAGGCTAAATTTAATCTTTTAGGACTGTTATAAAGACTATAATGAAGACACGTTGAACATTTTAAGCAAATTAAATGTTTTAATTTTTGACATTGATTTCTTCATAATTCATTATTGTAGGTGGATTTTTGTAGGTTTTCGATTTTTGAATATTGGGTGTATCGATTAATTTTTACCGCTGACTGTTAGATGTCGCCACTTAAACTTGTATGAAGTTTGACAGGTGAATCCAATTGCATTTTGTACATGTGACATTTGCCAATCTAATTCAGAGCAGAAAGATTTATTTTCGACACAGTGTCATTATTTTTTTATCAATTCAAAATGGATCGCGATAAAATGTTTTTCCGAAGTGCTCTCCTTTTCTTATTTGATATGAAGAAAACTGCAGCTGAAGCGCAACAAATGCTTTCGGATACTTATGGTAAACAAGCTCCAGTAGATTCAAGCTGCAGAAAATGGTTTCAACGATTCAAAAGTGGTGATTTTGATTTGGAAGACAAAGAACGGCCAGGTCAGCCAAAAAAGTTCGAAGATACGGATTTGGAAGCATTACTCGATGAAAATCCATGTCAAACGCAAAAACAACTAGCATTGGAATTAAATGTCTCTCAATCAACCATTTGTGAACGTTTACACGCAATGGGAAAGATTCGAAAGCTAGGAAAATGGGTCCCACATCAACTGAACGAAAATCAACTCAAAGCACGAATCGAAGCATGCAAAAAAAAAATCTTGTCGGGCACAAAAAACATAGTTTTTTGTATCGAATTGTCACGGGCGATGAAAAGTGGGTCTATTACGACAACCCCAAACGTAAAGGAGCGTAGGTTGATCCAGGCCAACCAGGACCATCGCAGTCAAAACGAGACATTCATTGCAAGAAGGTCATGCTGTGCATTTGGTGGGATCAAAAAGGTGTCGTGTATTATGAGCTGCTAAAACCAGGTGAAACGGTTAAAGCCCAACGCTACCGCATGCAATTAATCAAAATGGAGCATGCATGGAAGATTAAATCGATTGAATGTGATTTTACGAATCTGTGAATATGAAATGTAATTTTACGAACTAGGCGGGGATATTTTGTCTGGTGATGGTCGTGGTTCGGTAAGCATTTATGGAAAGTATTTTGAAGATGAAAATCTAACAGTGGATCACTCCGGCCCCGGTTTAATTGGCATGGCAAATGCAGCAAAAGATAAAAACGGTTTGCTAAATTATTAGAAACTAGCAATCGGTAGGTACTCGTATTAAGACAACATATTAGCTTCAGGAAACATGGTTCCCTACTAATCTCACACACCACGCTCCCTTCAATCCGGTGTAATTGTCCGGTGCATTTTTCCTGGGGTGATTTTTAGCCCTGAAAAGAACTGTTTTTATACGGTTTGGATTAATGATGGCTTGTCGAGCAGATCATTCTGCGTTTTATATGCGGTTCGCGCATATTTCTGTGCTTGCCTAAATACGCTAGGTAGCATAGATATGCCAAGCATAGCCGCAAACGCAACCGACGCATCGCCGTTCACTCTATATGAACAATACACATGTTCGTTTATGCAGACGACCGTGCGCATACAATATAGCTCGAATCAAATGGTGACGGGTGCGTTGCGGCTTGCGTCTCCGCTATGCTTAGCATAGCTATCAGGCATAGAAATATGCGCGAACCGGTCACTGGTGCCCGGTGTGTTTTTTTTTATTCTGAACCCAGATGTACTTTGATTACTTCATCTTCATCTGAATAACAGTATGCCACTATTTGGTATTTCAAGAAAATCGAAGAATAATTTTTCGGCGTAAATTGATCTCATGTCAATGAATTCCACAGCAATGAAATCCCTACTACCGTGCTAGATGGTGTCGATACGAGTGGACGGATTTTTAAATTTATTTGAACGACGCCATGTTACTATACTTGTCTATTACAACGTACATGTAACAGAAGAAACACACAGTCCATGTCCTCGCTAGTGGACATAAACGATTTGAACCGTCAATGTGAACTAGATCAAGTATAGAACTTTACATAGGATCATATACGATGAATATGGATTACACAGTCTGTTTCAAAATACCGTCACCAATGTCGACACCATTTGACATCAAAATTTTGACAGTAAAAATATGTGTTATTGTTGTTGTCGTTTCATTGCTGTGATGAATTCAATTCGACGGTCAGGATATTTTTCCTTAAACTCCTCCACATCGGTTGTCATATAATTCACTACCTCACTTGCACATAATTCTTCTTTGAACATTTTTTTTCCAGTATTTTTGTAACCCATTATTTCACTTGATCTGTTGTTATACCGTTTTTAAAGGTATATAAACGTCTTTTTTTCTCAATTTGTATTTAATAATGTAAGGTAGTAATGTTATACGCTTGTTCAGGTGCTGCACTGATCCACCCTCACCCCATTGATTTTTTTCGTTTTTGTCGTCGTTCATTTTTATTTTTTTCCCGTTTTTAACAAAAAAGATGTTGATTTTTGTTCGAAGTTGTTTGAAGAACGGAAAAACTTTAAACAACATTACCCGTACCTCTCTCTTCACTGCAAAAAATCTACTACCACATTTATATACGAGTGTCAATAATACGCAGGTTTATTTACATTTGTACATAAACCTAACCTAAAATGTCAATAGATGAAATATGAAACTACTAAAAATATTTGATTGTGTAATAACTTTGAAGTAGTAGTTTGACATTTCATTTATTGACATTTTTGGTTTAGTTTATTTACAAATGCTAGGGGGTAGACACCTATGAATCCAGTGTGAATTATTTGATTTCTATGAAATCTTTGATTCTTGCGATTTCGGTGATTTCTCGATTCCAAACCTCAATATTGGACATAAAATACACTTATATACAAAGCTAATTTCACTGTGTTAGTGTGTGCCTATAGTAGAAGTCGCACACATAGTGTGTGTGCGGTACAAAATACACAACATTTGACAGAAATCAAAGAAATCACAAAAATTGAATTCTGCGATTTCTGTGATTTTAATGATTTTTGTGATTTCTGTGAGTTTTGATTCCACGTGTCTACCCCCTAGTACAAATGTATATAAACCTGCGTATTATTGACACTCGTATATAAATGAAGTAAAAGATTTCTGGCAGTGTTGATGGCTATAGAGGTTAAATATGGACAGTTCAATCGGGCGAATTGAACTCCAAAGGAACCCTGTTCATTTAGATGTTATTCAATTAACGCCCACCCACCCACACAAAAATGAATTGTGTGTGTTCCTTGTAGTAACTATTTTCGTTTCCATACGTTATAATAATTGATAAAAATACTAAGAGTAATTAAACTCAATTCTGCTCTGACACAGAGTAAATTTTGGAATTGTACTTAAAATGCGCAAATGTGCACATATTTACTCTGGATTGTGAGTGATTTCAAAAACTTTTTGAGAGATTAGTGAACAAAAAAATGTCTGTTATTGCTGTTGTTATTTTTATTATTTTTTATATCTTTCTCGTTTACAATACAAGCTTCTATTTCGTGTCGTTATGGTGGTTTCTGGCGCCTGAATACCATCAGTTAGATTAAAATCGCCAATGACATTCATCTAGACTTGAATCAATGTCGAACAAAAAGTTTTTATTCATTATTATCTTTATTTTATTAGCTATGGATTCATGTTGAGAATCATTTTGTTTGACACACTTTAAATCAAATGAAAACATTTTTTTTTGTTTTATTTCAAAAATGACTCGAATTCGCCATCTGCTGCATATTTTTGCAATCAATTCATTCACAAAAACAGTGTATCAATAGAATTGACATTGTATCGATTCATATCAGATGAAAAAAAAATTCAATATAATATAACTTCGTATTACATTACTACCTGTTTTTTATCTAAAATTGTTTAAATTATAAAGTTTATGAATAGACCAAGAGCCACTCTAACAAGTAACTTTTTTTTTGCTTTATGTCAGAAAACTATATTGAACCATGCAGCTAGACATACACTAAACAAAAAATTTTACGTCTGTCATTACAGCCACCCACTTCGCGAAATCTGCACTATTATTCGCGGATAGAAAACACATCTATATCTATAAATCAGAAAGTATGTATGTATGTATGTATGTCCGGGGTTGGCGTCCAAACGCCTCAACCGATCCGGATGAAAGTGGTACTCGATGAAGATCCATGCCAAACGCAAGAAGAACTCGCTAAATCATTGGGAGTAACTCAAGCAACAATTTCACAACGTTTAAAAGCATTAGGGTTCATCCAAAAATTTGGAAACTGGTTGGCGCACGAATTGAAACCGAGAGATGTTGAAAGACGTTTTACCATCTGTGAAATGCTGCTCGCAAGACAAAAAAGCAAGTCATTTTTGGATCGAATTGTTACGGGCGATGAAAAGTGGATCCACTACGATAACCCAAAGCGAAAAAAATCATACGTACGACGCGGCGTACCAGGATCATCGCAAGCAAAGGAAGATATTCATGGTTTCAAGGTAATGCTCTGTGTTTGGTGGGATCAAAAGGGTATCGTGTATTATAAGCTGCTGGAACCGGGTGAAACAGTCACAGGAGATCGCTATCGACTACAACGAAGCGATTGAAGCGAGCATTGGACAAAGATCGGAAAGAATGGAGGGAAAAACACAACCGGTTAATTCTTCAACATGACAATGCTCGGCCACATATTGCAAATGTCGTCAAACACTACTTGTCGGCAATAGGATGGGAAGTTCTACCCCACCCGCCGTATTCACCAGACATTGCTCCTTCTGATTACTACATGTTTCGAACGATGCAAAACGAATTGGCAGGCAAACGCTTCACTTCTTCGGAGGAAATCGCAAATTGGGTCGGTTCGTGGTTTCGTTCAAAACATGAATTGCCTGGAAAATGGGAAAAAGTAGTGGCTAGCGATGGACAATACTTTGAATAAAAAAATGTGTACCATGTTCTTGAAATAAATGCCCAATTTCAGTGAAAAATCCTTACGTTTTAATTTATACTTCCAATATTATATATATGATTTTTGTACATTTTTATTTCTCAATATTTCAACTAAAAGACGAGAAAATTGTGCTTTAATTTTCCATGAATTTTGACAGTTCGTATACAAATGTATTTCAGAAAACCATAGTAGATTTATTTAATTTTTTGTGATTTCGAATCCATGTGTCTTGCCCCTAGTATAAGCTGCACCAAATTCCTACGTCGATTTCAACAAACAATCAACAGTATTGATGACGTATATAAATTATATGAAATTGGAATCGATATTAGAACAACTAGATTATTTTGGATGCCATTCACTGATTGTTGGCAATAGATCGATTGGGTACCTAACTATAGTTCACTATCAGGGATACCTGATTCCAAATTTGTAATACACCTAAGTGAATCTAGATCATAGGTTGTTATAAAGAAAGTTCGATTTAAAAATTATGATTGTAATTGTTTATTTCGATGATTTTTATCTATTTACAATATTTTCTTTTTGAGCTTATATTACTTGAATGCGATACAATTTAAAATAATGCAAAATCACCATGACAAATCAAACTTGTCGCAAACTGTTTCAAATTCCATAAATCGCTTCACGAACATATATGCATATTTTCTTTATAAAAAATGGAAATATTTCTAATTTAGTCCAAATTTAATCTTTTAGGACTGTTATAAAGATAACATATAACATATATAATCAAGACACGTTGAACATTTTAAGCAAATTAAATATTTTAATTTTTGACATTGATTTCTTCATACTCCATTTTCATTGTAGGTTTTCGATTTTTGAATAAAAAGTGAGATTTTTGTATTATGAAAACAAACATCAATACAAAGAAACACCAACATAAATGTACAGAATGTGTGACATTTATCACAGAACAACTACAGAAATATCGATTGATTCGTTGCTTTAACTACGTCATTTAATATTCTAAAAGTATGCCTTATAATCTGTTGTTGGATTTTGAATGGCTTCTGCTTCTGCAAGGTGATTCCATGCGGTAACAAAACTGTTTGTTCCTATGACAATTTGTAGTCTATACATAATAGTTATCGCTTCTATGTTCATCATCATAATCACCCTGTTAAATGCAAAATCAAGACATTCAAACTAACAATAATGGTGCATCGTATGTTGTCCATTTTCAGTCCCTATTTTCTTTCCAAAGAGAAAACATTATTATATTTAACAAGTTTAAATTGAAGCTATCAAAAATGATACATAAAAGTGCAGTTGTGTTTTTGTTGACCACAATTATAATGGTAAAATGATGAAATACAAAGAAAAAAGAAATTCTTCATTTCGTAAATATAAAAAATTTAAAATTTAGGTTCAGGCTGCACATTTTAAAGTAACTTCCCAGATTAATTTGGACATTTCAATTGATAATAAGAGCATTGGCACCATAACCGTTGGTTTATTTGGAGATGATTCACCAAAAACTGTGGAAAATTTTCGACAAATTTGTCTTCAAGGGATCAATGGACGATCTTACAATAATACACGATTCCATCGTGTGATAGACAGATTTATAATTCAGGGTAAATTCGATTGAATGTGATTTTACGAATCTGTGAATATGAAATGTAACTTTACGAACTAGGCGGGGATATTTTGTCTGGTGATGGTCGTGGTTCGGTAAGCATTTATGGAAAGTATTTTGAAGATGAAAATCTAACAGTGGATCACTCCGGCCCCGGTTTAATTGGCATGGCAAATGCAGCAAAAGATAAAAACGGTTTGCTAAATTATTAGAAGAAAAATGAAAAGAAATTAATGGTTCTTTTTACTTTTTGTTGACTCAAAATGTCAGGTTGTCAGTTTTATATTACAACAATGGAATCACGGTGGCTTAATGGAAAACATACCATTTTTGGAAAAGTGGTGAATGGTGCCGCGTATGTACATGTTATTGAAAAGGTATTAAATACGTTTGGAATCGGTTTTGATTGCATAAAATCTATTTAAAAAAAATCGCCTTCAGTCTGCCACAGATGAGAGTCGAAGGCCGATAAAGGATATTGTAATTACGAAGTGCAGTGATCAGCCGATGTTTTCGTCATACTATTATGTCAGCGATAATCCATACGAGTGAGTTTCCTCCATGGACAAACAAGTAAATCAAATTTCGTTGAAACAATTTTTTTTCAGTTTATACGCATGGATAAGAGCTTCAGCAATTCCATTGGGATTTAGCTTTGGCGTGCTGGGACTTTTCCATTTACTCATTCGAAAGCTAGATAGAATATCAAAAGCAAGTGAAGAATTCGAGAAGGAGCAGAAGTCCAAATAAAACGCTGTTTTTTTTTCAATTTCAAGTATCGTATATAATTCGGTTTTAATCAATTTAAAATTTAATTTCCATCTTGTAGATTAAGATGCCTTAAGAACTATTTATGTTTGGGGTCTATAAAAGAATGATTTTACGTTATTGTAACAATGTAACATGAACTAACTAAAACATGTGTGTATAGAATTTAGAATACATATTTAAATTCATGTACAATCGAACATATAATGGTTACAACATAATTTGTTATTCCGCCGTTTGGTTCTGTGTGTTGCTTAAATGTTAAATAAAACTAAAATAAAAGCGAAACAAAAAAAATAATAATCTAAAATTTCTGTCCCGAATTTTCGCCTGGGTGTAAAAATTTACAATTTTTTCCATGTCGACAAAAGCCACGTTGGAATTGTTTACATATTCGGCGCTGATTCGTATTCCAATTCTGACGTTGATTGCTATTATTATTCATTTGACTGGCTTGCCAATTATTGTTGGGCCCATTATTACCACCCACGCCGCCTGGTCCAAACCAATTGTTTCCGCCGGCGCCACCAACACGATTGCCACGATTATCGTTCATCATTGGTGGCATACCCGGTGCAAAATTATTCATAAAACCCATATTATTGGGTGGCAATTGTCCCATGATCGGTGTCATGGTTGGTGCATTAAATGGATGCATTGGATTCATGTTCATTGGATTTATTTGATTCATTGCATCTGGTGGCATAATGAGGCCAATTTGTGGCGGTCGAATGTTCATCATATTGTTTTGTGCTGGCCAATTTAGTTGATTAAATTGATTGAATCCAATGCCAAGGCCATTCATGTCATCAAGATTGTTGGACGCTTGATGCGGTGGAGATCCTTTTGGTTCGGGCCATGGCATATTTGTGTAATCGTGTATGGTGTCTGTATTTCCGGTGATATCAAACAACGGTATGGTGGGTGCTTCAACATTTTGGAATGTAACCACGTCGGGCTCGACAGGATTGTCTGGTATCATTGCTCGATTAAAGTAGATTGTTTTCAGGCACGTTTTTTCACGTTCAGCTTGAACTTCACATTCTTTACTCTTCACCACATGTTCGGGCACATCATCAACCAAAATTAATGGCACCCATTGCATTTGCTCGGTCATTGCATCATCAGCGTTCACTTTTCGGCTACTTAAAAATGCTTCACGTTCATTCACACGTTCAATTTGTTTCATATCCACAAATGCTTTTGTCACATTTACTCGTTCGGTTTCATCCAATTCAAAGTATCGGACTTCTTCGAGTGATTCTTGTGGCTTCCATCGCAATGATTTCTTTGGACCTCTGCGTCGATGGATTGTTAAAACACCAGGTGGACCGTTGGGTCCGCAACCAGGTCCTGGCTCACGTTTAATTTCTTCCTCTGGTTCTTCGGGTGAATCTCTATTTTCACTTGCTGCATTTTCACCACTTTGTGGTTCTTCCGTTGCATCGTCGACGATTTTTGATTTCTTCTCTTTTGTTTCTTCGTCATCATCAGGGGTGACCAAACCGTCGACTTCTTTTTTGATTGATTCAGAATTATTTGGTGAAACCTCTTTGTTCTCACTTTCTTCCAGTGTGTCCTGATAGAAACGTAATGGAGCGGCAGTCACTGTTTTAATCGACTCTTTACTATCTTTTGTTGCAGACGTTTTTTCGAAACTTGTTTCCGCATCCTTTGCACTTGGGATTCGCTTACGTTTACGCACCTCTTTCTTTGTCGTTGCTGCTGAAATCGCATCCATAAACATATCAGATTCGACTAAAACTGATGCTAAACATGAAAAAACGTAACAAGAAGAAAACAAATTATGATTAGATTTTTTTGATATATAATAAAAGTATTAATAGAAATAATGTGGCATTTAAGGAACTTGTTTCTATATGATGATGATAACGACGCAATTATATGTGAAAAGGCGTTGTCTTTATGTGATCTGTTGAAAAAAATAAAAGAGGTAAAAGAAATAATCGAATGTCATAGGTAAACAATGCCTTTTTTGCATTCAAAAAACAATTAAACATTTTTATACGATCGATGTGTTTTTAAATTGAATGAGATATTACAATTCTCGATACAATTTCACAAATGATACGATAAAATTGGCATGAACGGGGCTTTATTTTCAATTTTTTTAAAAACGATCATAAAACGTACGTTAGAAAGGCATAAATGCGTGCATACACACTTAATGGCATTTTAAATCTTTGACATTGGGATTCACGCGTGCCAATGATGAATCATCACTAGAACAGTTGTTCAATCTGAATACATATTCGGACACACCAAAGAACATAGTAAACAATATAAATTCAAGCGAATATTTCAGCATCATTTTCATTTGATAAAATGTGTGTGTCTTCTTCCATCAAAATCTCTGTTGTAATAAATTATTAAATAGACGTGAAAAAAATCGAGAAAAATATTTCAAATAATCATGTGTGTTCAACGTATATTCACAATAGCGATTGCAATTTTTCCAAATGTTGTGCGAATTAATTCAGAATTTTTCATGTCCATTATGTTTTGTTGTGATATATGGATAAAATAACATATGTATGTCAAGAGATACACTGATTTAAAGTCCTCAATGAACATGGACTCGATGCAATTCGGCATTATGACAAATGACAACGATCAATCGGAAATGATGAAATGTGCTTATTTCAACACATAGTTTGCCTACTAAATCATAAATGATTGAGATATCACATCCACTTAAAAATACGCTTAATTACTTTAATCTTCGTTTCGACCGTTATTTTTCGGTAGACTAAAGAACAGTTGAGATAAATAAAGCTCGACATGTCGTTGTCCACATAGATCACTTTGTTGTGAGATGTACAAAGAAAGATATGTTCTTCATTCTGATGAATGAGTTCAGCTTAACTCTTAAACTTGTATTTATTAATCGATTTCACGTGGATCACAGAGAATGTAAAGCTGAATCATCACATATAGAGTCATTGATTGATATAGTAGCTTGAATTTGTAAATTGATCGACAAACAGTTGTCGAAAAAAACACATGCATTGACATTTCGTTTGTTTACTCTGTTCGTTTCGCTTTAAAAAAAACTGTTAATATATTACCCAACAACCAAGGTAATTATAGTGCCAATACAATTCCACACGTTGTGTACTTGATTGTTTATTCATTTGAAATCATTATGTACTTGCAAAATTGTCTAAACTACAAAACTATAGCCTAAGAATGATGAACACGTGCCATCGGCTAGGGTCGCAATCACCACTCAAACCGCAAACACCGTTGACATTTTTCTTTTCTTTTGGTGTACAGCATTTATTCGCTCCTGGATTGTTCCGATTTGCAATCAGATTCGGTTTGCTTTTAAACACGCAAACCACACAAAATAAATAGCACGACTATATTTACATTTACGCTCTTACCTCTCTGCAATATGGCATTGAGTAAGAAGAAACAGAGAATTTGGCGCGTTGTGTACTGTCAACATTCTCGTGGATTTCATGCAATTGTGTCACAGCACATAGCCTACGCGCTCTTTGCGATTCGTTATTTTATTTAATATATAATGCGTTGCTGTTTCGTGGCCATTGCGGCCCTAGACATTAGGCTTTTTATCAGTTTCACTTGTATTTTAGCTTTTTTTTTTATTTAAACCTTTATTTTCATTTATTTTGAGTGTGGCAAAGTTGCGGGCAATTACATGCTCACGCAAAAATGGTACACACACATATACTATCCTGTATAATGGGGGAAGATGAAAGTTTATTTGATCTCTATATGTATTTCTTTCGAATGTATGTTAAGAATTAATTTTTGTTTTGTTCGTAAATAAAGTAGAGTAAAAATAGTTGATCTGTAAAAAGATAGCGATTTTTTTTGTGTATTAAAAAGTAAAAAGGAGGTCGTATACTTATAGCTCAGCCATATTTTTTTCAAAAATTTGGCACGTGTGCACACACAAATCCGTTTGCTATGTATTGACATACACTCACACAAATACAATCGGCCCTTTCACATAATTGCACCTGAGATCATCACGACCTGGGAATGAACAAAACAAGCCCGATTAGTTAATTCATATTCAATGAGATACTTACGTTTTGGTTTTGCTGGTATTAGTTTTATGGTTCCTGGTTTTTCGACGATTGGCGATGTGGCTAATTTGATTTTCTTTTCGGCGGCTTCTTTGGCAGTGTTTGTCGGCGATAGAGATCGTTTTGGAACGACTGGGATGCCATTTGTAGGCACTGTAGCTGGTTTCTTTAGGTCACGCCTTGATGGTGGCGGTGGTGCTTCTTCGGCCAAACCATGACTTCTGAATTGAGAATTATACGTTTTAACGGTTTTTGGCCGATTTTCCGTATCTTTACGCACTTCAATCGATATGGATTTCTTTTTGCTTGGCAATGCTGCACTTGATGGTTCAGTGGTACTTGATTTCTTCGCCGGATCAGTAGATCCATCTGACGAATTTGTTTTCTTTGGGATTTTTCCGACCTTTTCAAGGGATTTTGGTTGAATTTTCGCCAATGTATCTTTATCCTTTTCAGCTTGTGTCTTTGACGATTCCGATTTTTTATCTTTCGAACTGCTTGAACTAGAGCTAGAAGATTTCGATGATGATTTGTGTTTGTCACGGCTGCTGCTCGATGACGATGAACTGGTTTTGTGACCGCTTGATGATGACGAACTGCTCTTATGCGATTTACTACTCGACGATTTTGCACTAGAACTACTACTATGTTTTGAGGACGATGACGATTTGCTACCGCCCGAACTTCGGTGTGATGACGATGAAGAAGAACTTGATTTCTTATGTTTATCGTGATGATCTTTGCTCTTGTCACGCTCTTTGCCATCTAATCTTTTATCGTCTTTTGTTTTGTCGGTGCGCATCGATTTCGATGAACGTGATTCTTCTGAATCGGATTCTCTGTAATCATGGTTGCCATTCTTTTTCGGTGATGAATCGCTTATCTTAGCTAATCCGTCTTTCATTGTAATTTTGAAAACAAAATTGCCATCACTCTCATCAACATTCGCACAACCAGTCATATCATCATCCTCATCATCAATAATATTTTCATTTATTTGAGACTCACACAAGCTAAGTTTTACAGTATTCAAATTGTTGCCTGCTTGGTCTAAACTCTGATCACTAAACATTTCAACCGGCTTATTAATAATTTGAGTTTGAGCATTTTGCAGATTTTCTTTATTAAATACATTTGAATTTTGACTAGGAGTTTCGCCACGTGCTATCTTCAACCACTGTTCAACGAGTCTCGTTGCCAATATACGCACACCTGTTGGAAATAAACGAAATTCCATTCAATACATTAATAAACATCACATGAATTTGTCACACGAAAAAGCTATGTGATTTGAATAAAAAGGAATCTAAATACTTGAAATATTCTTTTTATTTTTATAAATATTTTGAAATTTTTGGCTAAATAAAAGATAAAAAAAAGTATATATTCACTTACCTTCATTCTCTTCTTCACGTGACAATCCTTTAACCATTTTGGGTGCGGAATTACTCTGTAATCGCGGCACGTCGACTGGGCATAAAAGTAATAGTTCCAATAATTCTTGCACTAATGGCCAATTCTTCGTAATGATTCCGTCGTCAAGCCAAGAATGCACCAATGGCCATCCACCAACGTCCATAAATTGTCCCAATAGTTCAGTATCCGTACATTTCAGAATTTGAATATAAATACATTTTGAAACGAGTTTCTTTGAATATTTTGCCATTAATCTACAGATAATGAAAATGTTGCAAATTAATTAAAATCGAAATCGATAAAATGTGAAAAAGTTTTGGTTTAAAAAATTATCTTATCAAAATGTGATTTTGAAAAAAAAAAAAAACGTTGGGAAAATGAAAAAAAAAATATTACCCAGCAAGCCTTTTCACTTCAGGCGCACTACGAATTCCTCCATTTGGCGATAAAAGTACACCAATACAAGATAATAATTTCACAGGATCAATGCGTGGCTGTAACATTGGGAAAAAACACTATTTAGAAATCAAATATTCACAAATAAAAAAAAATTAACAGGAATGCCACGTATATATGTCATTCACGCAACGACTTTCAAATAGCAAATATGCCGATTTGGGCGAGAAAAAATAAAATTAGTGCTGGCAAAACTTTGATTATATAGAAAAACATCTGACATTTGCATGTGTTCAGAATATTAATAAAATTGCGCTCAAAACACACCCATCGTGTGAGAGCGTATTTCAAATTTTTCCATTCCAAACTTTAAATCTACTACACACGTATGCACAGTTTTGTGTTCATGTCGACGATCTAGTACTTTTCGGACATTTCATTAGACGTTCGCAGTGTAAAGCGAACAGGAAATATAGGCGATGCTTATAAAAAAAAGTCAATTATATAAATGTACGTAGTAGCCGTAGCCGTCGTCGTTTGCACACATACACACAAACACTCAATCAATGTTTTCTCATATGTTTTATTTTTTCGTTTAAGCCAGAAATAAAAATGAAAATGCTTAAAAGATTTGGAAGATATTTTATTTTAGTTGAAAACATACCATTTTAGACCTAATGAAATATTCATTCACATTCAAATACAAGCCATACAATCAATGGAATTTATGGCATTTGATGAAGTTAAATAGGTCTTGAGACAAAAAAAATGTACAGTTTCTTTCTCTGTTTCTTCGTATGACAAAAACCAAGATGGCGGAGACCTTCACTTTTTTTGATTACCCGTAATCACTTTCACAAATCAATCGACATTGAATCAACACTCTCAATATAAAAAAATATTTTTTTTCTCTTGTTAATTTTGTATGTCTTTTTTATATGGTCAATGCTTTAAGCTAATGAAATTGCTTGTTCTTAATTTAATAAAAAAAAATCTCATTAAATAAAATCTTTTTCCAATAGAATCGCAATAGAAATATGTGTCTCGATTAGCATGAATATATATTTTTTTTCTTCATATAGTTTATGAGATACTGTGTGGCTGTGTGCTATTGCGTCTGAATTGTTCGATGACTTCTCCAAAACTGATTCAACAAAAAGGAAATGTGTGGTGAACAGTGTTGCCATTGGAGTTGTAAGCGCACAGCGACACACTCGTAAACGTTTGACCAATGGATGCGTTCTATTCACATTCATTCTTTGCTTTTTAATTAGAAAAAAATTGATTATTTCTCATGATTTTGATAGAGAATCGAAGAACAATATTTTAAATGAAACAAGTAGATGGAGACAACCTCAAATGTGACATATTTCAACATTCAAATAGTATTCGTATTACAAACAGAATGACAGTTCTATCGATGAAAAGCATGTTTTGACATTTTCTTTGGAAATGACAATAGAACACTAAAGACCACACACAACATTTATTTTTAACATTTTTCAATTATTTAATAAAAAAAATTATAAATAGCTTTGTCATTCGTTGGAAAATGAGTGCTTTATTTCAGAGAGGCAAGTAAATTTCATCAACTATATGAAAAATTTCTTTAATTTAAAAAAATCCGGTTTATTTAAAATTTAAAATTGAAATCAACCATAACCAAAAAAGCTATATCTTTTGCCGAATTTATGCTGAAATCAAAAAATGTTCCAATAATGTATGTAACAGATTATTTTTCTTTAAATTTTAGGATTGTTACAATCTGAAAAGGTTTTGGTGCAATGTAAACGATATGGAAGTAAAATAAATATACAACGACCCCGGCCACCGCATTACACTCGTAAATTGTTCAATGCGGTAACAGAGCCTGTATATCCGCGTAGAACTGCGATCGATTTGTGTTTTGAAAAACAAGCGTTGCAAAAGTTGGAAAAAGAAAAAGAGGAAAAATTGACATTGCATCAATATGATGCTATTCTGGCACGTGAATTGCATGGATTCTTTAATTCGGCCCAAATGATATTGATTTGTCAGAAAAATTCAATGAGTGCTTTCGATTATTTTAATTTTCGAGTGGCAATGCACAAGAAAAATATCAAAACAACAGTTTATGGACGAAAAATCATCAGAGGCGCTCTTGAAGATACCAAGTTTAGTTCACTATTACCATTGCTCAGTCAAACAACATACAATTGTATGCTATTTAGTGATGAATGGAATATCAAAGATGCATTGAATGTGTTGAAGAAAACGCAAAAAATGATTTTGCTGGCCGGTGTATTGGGCGATCGTTTCATGAGCCGAAGTGAATTGGAAAATTATGCCAAACTACCCGATTTACAAGTGTCACGAGCACAATTCGTGGCGACAATGAATTCGGTTGGCGGTCAACTTACAAATCATCTGCAGGCACATCAAAGTAATTTCGCTTACATGCTAGATGCACACGCTGAAGCATTGAAAACCGCTGATGCAAACACCGGCACATCGACAAGTGCGACCAATGAAAATTCACCAACAACAACAGAGACCACAACCGATGAAAAATCCACATAAAATACAAATGACGGTTTATGTTAAGAAATTCTAATGTGTACAACTTGTTACAGTCGAAATAAATTAAATAGAAAATAAAACTTTAAATTACACAAACTATCGATTGTTTTCACATGAAACAAATACATATTTTTTTCTGTCATAAATAATCGGAGATAGAGAGTCGGTTTCTTTCTTTCAGTCGCACTTTATTTCAGTTTCTTTGTTGATTTTATAAATAGCATTGAAATCAGGGAATGTATTTGTTGAAACATACATTAACATCGTGCATTTGATGATCGGCATCAACGAAATGTACCGTTCGTGCTCTTTTTTCCCATTCGGAAGTTATATTATGTGATTATTTTATTAAAAGCGAGATATTTGTTGAATGCACACGTATGTGTGAGCCGTTGGTGTAAAACCACTTGCATGTAAAAATAAAAACATTTGTTTTTGTCGTCGGCGGAACACGATTTTATCCGAAGGCAATTCTTTTTTGTGAACATATTATATGAATGCCATTTAATTTAGCGAATTAATTTCAAATGAACAATAAAAATTCATTTGGAAAATCTGTATGTTTTTATTCATGTTTTGAATGATGAGTCCCTCTTGAATGAGATGAAAAAGAAAAACATCGTTGAATGTTTTGAAAACAAGAAAATTAAACAAAGCATAAGCAATTGACGAGGTTGGTCGATTAATGTGAAGAAGAAAAAAACAAGACTACACGAAAGATGAAAGGAGAAACAGAGCTCAAATTAGTTGACCGAAAAAAAACAAACTACGGATCGTAAAACATCGCGCTTGTTCGCAGCACAAACACAACGACTATAAAATTGAAAGGATAAAAATCATAAGAGCAACTTTTGTTCTTGCTTCTTCGATGTGGTTATCATATGATTTCAATACATACAATGAGATGCGAAACGAACACACAATATTATGATAGCTTAACACCATGTTTTCCTCGAGATCCGTCACAATATTCGCATATATGTGTTTATTTTAAGTGGCTGTCATTCCCCATTCGGTTTGGCTTACTTCTGATTCACATCAGTATTTAAGGTATGTGCAATTTTTCTTTGACTTTCAGTCGATTCTAATCCATGTCTTGGGCATCTCCTCATAGAGTGCACCAAGCAAACATATCAACACACGAATTTTTCGTCATTTAAAATCAACGATAGAGAGCGAAATATATATCAATTTTTTTTAATGAGAAAACACGATTTTTGTGGTGTGCCAACAAAAAAGATAGATCAAAAATAGAAAACAAAGTCCAGTAACGGTAGTTTGAACGGTGCACAAGCCATAATCGTAGTGTGCAGATCTGATTTACTGAACTCTGTGTTGTTGTATTTAATTTTAAAATTTAATTCAATAAGAAAAACTAGTTTATTTTCGGCTGTGCTAATTTTAATGATAAAATTAAGTAAGTTGGAGGTGTTTGTTTTACAACTTCTACTCACTTCTTCTTCTTTGAATTATTCGTTTAAGTTGTTGTGACGCTTGTAAAAAATTCAAATTCCAATGAAAAAATAAGATATTCCATTTGAATTTTCACGTTATTGATGCACCTAGTATCATGTTTTCGTTAGAAGAAAAAGAAAACACAATTAAATAAGATAAAGGTCACCGAAAAATTATTTGTGTCACTTTTTTTCTTTTGGGAATTTATCTTTTTGCGCATGACCAATGACATCGAATAGATATGTGACTGGCCAAATGTGTCTTCCTAATCAAAACAATGAACAATTTACTCTGCTTGAAAGACAATTTTTTTTCGATTTCACCTCGTAATCTCAATATCATTGTAAAAAAATCCTTTCGATGTACAAGTCATATACAAAGTAACACACCTATACAAACATTCGTTGTTCGTTAATTGACAAACGACGAAAAAAAAAGAAAAAAAACATTGATTTGATTACGTATATATGAATGTGCGCGGGGGACATGAAATTATTGTTTTTCACAATCTCTCTTTCTTAAATGAAAACGCGAAAAATCGTCGTCGTCGCGAACATCTACATATGTAGTGATACAGGATCGACTATCGTCCGAAATGAAAGAAACACGAAACAAAATAAAAGACTGACGGGCAAGTGCCCGTTATAGTGTAGAAGTCGTGTTTTTTTGTGCGCATATTTTTAGACACATCACAAATGAAACTGTATTTTACAAGATTTCTGTTGTGTTTTTTTTTTATTGTCGCAATTTTCACTGTTTTCTTTCACCCAAAATAATCATCTTTTTTCTCTTTTCTCTTCTCTCTTTCTCTCACTTTGTATGTTGTCTTCATAGAAATGGATAGAGGTGCACGTCCCATTAGAAGTAGAAAACACAATAGGTTCGTTTCGCGTGTCTGTGTGTTTTTTTCGTTTGTTTTCATACATCATATCGCATGTAATTAAACATTTATTGTTTTGCTTGTGTATTTTTGAGCTTTTCCTAACTAATAAAGATTTTTCAAACAATCCAAAACGAATGTCCTTGAGAAAAAAAATCACCACTACTATTTGTCACTTTTCTTGAGTTTCTCACATTTGTTTTTCTTTTGCTGAAAACTTGTAACTTGAAAAATCGAAATATTGATGATATTTATCATTTTTTCTTTAGAAGATCATGGACCCCTGTTCAAGGTGATTCAAATAGGCCAATCAAACGTCTTTTTACGCCAGAAATAAAACGAATGCTAAAAGATTGGCTGGTACGACGACGTGAGAATCCATATCCATCACGCGAAGAAAAAAAATCCTTAGCACAAAAAACTGGCTTGACTTATATTCAGGTAAATCGTCTATGTTCTTTATCATAATTGCAATGTCTCATCATGTTTTTCCTTACAGATTTGCAATTGGTTCGCAAACTGGCGTCGAAAATTGAAAAATGCCGGAAAAGAACCGCAAAAAAATACATGGGGCCATCTTATCAAAAACTACAATAATAATGCACGCGGAAATGTGGAACAATTCAGTATTTGTTCAAGCGATAGCATTTGGGAAGATGAAGAACGTCGCAATGAATATATTGATAGTAAAATTGGCATAAAACGTACAATGACAAATTCACCCATGTATTTTAATAGTTTTATTCGATTCGATGAAAATGCTTATGTGAATGCAACGTACAAAACGAGTAACACCGATAAAAACGTCATACAATCAAATGTGGATGAAAAATGTGACGCCACAGACGTTTCAAACGAACAATGTTATCAGGTAAACAGGATATGTTGTATGTCATGTGAATTGAAAAATGTGAAATTACAATTTGATGGCTTATTACAATTAATACAGTTTGCTGGGATTGATCATTCACAGGTAAGCTCGACTACAAACAACAACAACATCAATGATTCTGTGGTGCACACAAAAGCAAACACGGATACAACAGAAACCGAATCGAAACAGCCACCGAATAATAATAATAATTGCTTCTCAAATCCAAAATATAAAAATCAAATTATGGAAAAATATCTACAAAGTCTGGATGGTAATGGCACAGGAGAGAGAAAAGGTGGACTCGAATTGTCAAAATGGCTTGAGAGCACCGCCAAATTTACACCCGACAAAAATAATTACATCGAATGGGACTCGAAAAAGTAAGCGAGAAATGTTTAACTCAATCAAACAGCAACTCAATAATGCATTTAATTTGTAGAATGTGTTCCAATAAAGAGGACTATCAAGATCAGTATATGGCCGAGAGTAATATGGGCAGTATTCATCAGAAAGATGAATTAGATGCCGCGGAAGCACTAACCTATCTTGCCGGAAATTTCAAAAGTCGATGGGTGAAATGAAGGCTTGTTATTGTGGAAGTGATTGAGCGATATCGTTTATTAACGCATTCCACCACGGAATCCTTAGCTACTCGAAATCTTAATCATTTTTAATTACATATACATATATATTTTTTTAAACTTATGCGAAGCAAACGAGAATTTTTAAGTACAATGATTGTTGAAATATATTTTTGTTGAGAATTTTACCAAATGTTGAGTTTTCGATGAATTTTTTCTGAGGATATTTTGAAGCATTTGAATCATTCAACCGAAAATGTTCAAAAAATCGAAATGCCTCCGCCTTTCCATAGATGGCGCGATTGTTTGTTGCGAATATATGTTTATTTTCATACATTAATTGATAGAAATCTCTTTTTTTACAAAACGAATTAATTTTTTTTTAAATTTTGTATTTATTATTCAAATAATCTTCTAATTATGTTTAAAAATGGAATAAGACCGCTTAAATGGTTTTGTGTTTGTTGTGAAACAGTACCATTTCAGTCGCCTCCGTTTGTCTCTCTCTCACTTAGATGTTATTCGCACAACTACACGGCTGTACTATTAAGTCGTATATTCGGCATATTCATTCACAAATAGACTACAAATCCACCATATTGGTTGTGTGTCGACAGAATTCTTTTTTATAAATATTATAAATAAAAGATTTTATTTCAATTTCCCGCTAATAAATCATTTCAAATAATTAAGGTAATTTCAAAGCAATTAAATTTTGAAATAAATTTATAAATGAAATAAAAAACAATTTAAACAAATCGCAAATTTTGTTTTTGGTCTGTAAAACTACGTCGTATAATAATACCGCAACGCCTGTTCCCTCAATTTTCATTCGTGTATGTCGAGTGTGGTTGTTGGTATTAGGCGCAGAACAAGCGCTTCGGTATTGAAAGCATTGAGTTGGTTTGAGTTAAAAAGCAGATACGAAGAGTCGAAAGTATGACGTGCCGTATTTCATGTTAGCCTGTTACTTGACGCGCCTCTTGCATCAAAAACGTATTTATGATTCCAGAATCTCGTTTTACGCTTATATTTCGTTCATTGCGATCAAAGCTGTTCACCAAACTATACGAAACTCATTCTATACCATTCGTTGTATGTTCGAGTTTTGTTCGCACCGATATGTTGTGTTCATTGGCTTTTGAATTTTACTTGCTTGTACTGTGGCGCGCTCGAATGCCCGTTTCGAAAGCGTTGCCCGGCTTTGCTACTACTGTTACCAGTACACAACGATCATTACGAGTGTGTATCAAAAAAACGAAATGTACTGTTCTGTATCGATTGATGTGCTCCTGGTTGAATTGTGATTGTATAGGTGAAAAAAGAAATGGTTGGGAGTAAAGAAATCGTAGGCCAGTGATGTTAGATTGTTTGGTGTTGTTGTATTTCTCTCTCTCTCTCTCTCTCTCTCTCTCTCTCTCTCTCGTTCGTTCTTTTCGATCGTATTGGGTATGGTTGTGTACATAAGGAAATAGAAATTCTTGATGCACTTCGGTGCTCATTTTTATGTGTGCCTGTTATTCGTGTCGGTCGAGTAATGCAGAAAGCTGACAGACACCACCGCCAAAACGTGATTTCATTCAGCCTCATATTGAATAGATTCATTTCCTTATGGCTTCGGCTATCCCACTTTTGTACTTTTGTATCGCTTTACGATGGAGTGGTTGTTCAAGTTGTTGACTCATGTCGCACAGCAATTTAAGCTTTGCACACACAACGAATGGAAAGAAAAAAATTATCAATGAAACCAAACAGCCAGTTGCTTTGAATATAATGAGCTCAATATACCTTGAGCTTAGTTGTTCCTTTTTTGGTGTGCACCTGTGCCGTGTACCATGTTAAATATTCCACCTGAATCGAAACAAGAAGAAAAAAAGAAGCAAGAAAAAAAAAACAGCACCAACAACAACATAAATGCCGATTGGAAAATTAAAAATCCATTGGGCGTTACATCAATTCAACGACTTGACGTTGCGTACCATGGCCGATATGATGGAGCTCATGTTCGTCGACAACGATACATGAAGCATGCAACAATATGTTTACAAACGTAACGTATCGCAACGCAACACCACAAAAAAAACGACGAGCAACAGAGAAGCGAACGAGGTGAACGAGAGTGAGACCATATACAATACGAAGACATACAATTTTGTTTTGCTCAACACCACATATACGCATACACACGAGAGTGTTTCGAAAGTTAGTTGCTTGAAACCGCATATCCGCATTCGTTACGTGTTGAAGTTCATGTTCGCCTGGTAGAAATGTCAGACATTTATTTCACTTTTATCTCGATTTTTCCTTCTCATAAATCACAGAATTATGATTTAGTGGTGTTACTGCTTTTACGAGCCGTTTCGCATAAAACGATTGTTTTACAATTATTATGTGATTTGATTGTACACAGAGTACATTGTACATACACACACATACACATTCTCAGACTATTTGAACTTTTCGCTGTCTGGACGAATAAGATGAGCAATTCTTCGCTTTTGTTCACTTCTTATTTTCGCTTGTACTTTCAGTCCCAGTTACGATTTCTAGTGTTGTGTAAGTTGAAAGACAGAGTGAAGAATACGGTGAACTGAAATGGGATCGAACAATACAAACATATATGTTGCCTATTGTCTGTGCGCCGTTGCATGAGCGCCTGATAAAATTTGTCCCATTGCTCTCGTTTTGACGTCATATCTGTATAGGATTTGAAGCAGGTGCGCGCTACTTTTCGATTATTTTCTACAAAATACGATCTTTATCAAAACAATGCAATGGACTCACCGGAAAATAAATCGATTTATCGTATTTTTATCAATGCAAATAGTTTCGTGCGCAAAACAAACCGCAAATATTTATTTAAATCGGTTATAATTTTAGTAGCAACGAAAAACAACATTTTTATCGTTTGTAAATTCTATAATTTAACCACATTTTTTACAATTGTCATGATAATGCTTGTTTTTTTTTTCTTGAAGCACTGTGAGCAGTTTCATTATTTATTCGAGATATCTCACAAAATTTTCGCACACAAACGTAAATGGTAAGCTTGTTTATTTAATTTTGCATGTCATAGTCTGCTATCTTTTCATTTAAATAAGGTCATATGATGTACGAAAACAAATTACAAACTTTTCTCAGCTCAATTACACCTACACCCTATTATTCATCTCTCATTCATATTCAACGGTTTTTCTATAATGTTCTCTCCCTTTGCATCGCAAAATTCATGAACAAAAACACTCCATACCAGACTATGTCTATACAAAACACAGAGCACCACTTTATTTTTAAACTTTTGTTTTTTTTTCTCTCTTGACCACGTCAAGACTGCTGAAAATGTTCCGTTCGAATGCAAGGTATTTGTAAAATGAAAAAAAAAAAGAAGATTTACCTCAAATTAAGTTAATTTGTATGGCTCTGAAACGCTAATTGGGCTTGAAAATGGCATAACATAAAAATACCGACAAAATAGTAAAATACATGAGAAATTATGCATTGCGAAACAAAAACACATTTTAAATACTGAAGAATTTAAGAAATATTTAATGTAAATATTATTTCAACATTTTGTCTCAAAATATGATCGCCAATAAAGCAAACAATCTGGCGGGATAAATACGTCGAAGTCAAATTGGCAAAAAGGAACGAAACATGTTTTTCTCTTTTTTTTTGTTTTTGAATGCATTGAGTTCGCCTACGTCTTTTTATAATTATAAGTATACGCTGTGCTTATATAGAATACTCCGTTTGATGGTATAAATCGCAGCACGCAATCCAAAAAAAGGAATGAATTATTATGGTTTTTAATCGTCATTTCCTACATAAGCGCATCGAATGCATACCTTGTTTTTTTTAAACGTTGATGGTACGCTTCTGGATGGAGATAAAATGAAAACAGCATATATATATCATTATCTTATCCGTTGAACGACTGCAGCCATCGCGCATCTATTGGCTGTGATTTAAGTTGAAACATTAAAAAAAACAGAAAAATGCATGTGGTCAGTCTATGGAATGGCAAATGTGTGGGAACAGAAGCCCTTTTGGAATGTTATTTTTGTGAATCAGAACAGCGTTGTGATTCGTATATTTGTGCAAATTTTGTGATGCTCATTCTCTCCTTTTTCTTCTTAATTTGAGTGCAGAAATGCAATAAAACTGTTGTTATAATACGTTCAATTTAGAAAATAGGCATTCAGCGAACGCTTTAGGCAATCACGACATTAAATTTGGCAGGTCTTGCACATGCAATGCATTCGCACTGTTCGAGTTGGGACTTTTTTCGGCGAAAAGAGAGAGAGAGAGAGAGCGTGGAATGATTGTGATTTTTCTCGTTAAGAAAATAGTCGCACGTAATTGATAATGAGCATTGGATTTTGAGAACAATTTTGAAAAAATATATTTATTATTTATAAAAGTCTTGAAATGGTGGTAAAGAGAACTGATATCATTGACATTCTATCGAGCAAAATGTTTCACTGATAAAGTTTAACCGGTACATTGCAGTGCACCTACACCGAACGGTTCATACACTTCAACTTTTTATACACTCTACCTGATTGAACACGATTGTTATTATCGTCAGCCGCAATCCAGAGTTCATAAGAAAAGTGACGTCTTTTCATCCGAAATCGAATCATAAATACGCAAATTGTACATACCTGTTTTAATTTGTTATGACCAAATAAATAAATAATAAACTTTTAACTAGATTGAGCACAAAAGAAATGCTATCATACCATTTTGACGTTTACACTGTGCCACATTTATTTACAGAAAAAAATTACGTTATAAAAGTTGTTATTGTAATCACTTGAGAGGGGGAACCTGATAAGCACGACGGTCGATGCCGGTGCATTCGTACCGAATATATAATATTTATTCAATGATCTTTTTTTTATTTTGCTTTTGATAACGTTTACAATCACAGTTGAATTTTTATTGTTATTATTTCGATATTGTTTATAAATATACTTGTAATGGCAACGTTTTTTTCCTCTTTCGAATTAAACATCTGGTTCATCAAATATCTATACATATGGTTCTCATATACGTATTTGAGTTGTCTCTTTTTTTATAATCGGCTTTGAGAAGTTCACTTGACCGCGATAAGGCCATGGTGCTGTTATTATCGATTCCGATTTTCTCGGTTGGTTCATACATTAAGACATTGCTTTTTCAATTGTCCAA